TGGGGGCATAACTTTCTTAGATGAAGGAAATCATTCATTTCGGCTTCAAAATGGGGCTTTACTGAATACCTATGCCAGCCCATATACGCCATCAGAAAAACACGGGGGGGTTTCAGTACCATCCGAAATTTGTACACCAGTTTCTATGCACTGGGACTCGCACTGGCACTGGCACTGGCACTGGTATTGATGAATCATTTCCCCGAAATATCGATGTTGTCATGACGCATGGACCCCCCAAAGGCATAATGGATGTCGCTCGTTATGGCGAGCAGGCAGGTTGCCCATACCTTTTCAAAGCTGTTGCAAGAGTCCGGCCGCTGATGCATTGTTTCGGCCATGTCCACGAGGGCTGGGGTGCAAAGCTGGTCACTTGGCGACGGTATACTAGTATGGAACCATCTCATTTAACCGACATCGACAACGAGAAGTCGCTTTTGATTGAAAATCTATCGACCATTGAAGAAAAGCAGACTATTGAAGATCGAACTCAGTACTGTACTACCAGTCACCTTTCTAGCGACCCACATCCATTGAGTCGGGGGGGGCAGACACTTTTCGTCAACGCCGCTTTTAAAGGAACGGGGGGGTTTCCGAAGACAGCCACCATGGTTTGTCGATCTTGATTTTTGTTCGGCGTAACGGGACGAGGTCACATATAATTAGGTCCTTTCGTAACACAGGACGCGGATGTTTGACCAAAAGTGTAGTACTAAGCAAATAATTGGACTTTCTATAATGAATTTGGGGCTATGAGACCCGACGTTTCTATGATATTCTTATTTTCAATCCGATCTAGTGCACTCCATTAGTGACTTTGGTCTTCAACCTGAACTCCTCGCGATAGATCGCCTCCATTTCGCGTCTAACAGCCACAGCCTGTGACCTTTCGCTAAATTCTACGTCCTGCCAGCTAAGCCCTTCGTCTTTCTGAACATTTCTCTTCAGAACCAACCCATGAGCCAAGCCAATTGGCAGGCCCTCGATGGCAAGTGAAGCTTCAGCTGGCATCAATTTACCGTATACCATAAATCCGCCCTCGCCGTCTAGCTTTTCGCCAACCTTGAGATCCCGCTTCGCGGTAGCCACAACGTCTGATGCAAAAGTCTTGCACTGACCGGTAGGCTCTCCCCTGCACATGATGGTGGCGATAGAGATGCCCAACTCGAGGCCGATTAGGTGATAAGGCTTGAACTGAGCGGCAAAACGGCCGGTGCTATCGGTTTTGAGACCGTATTGAGCGAAACAGTCACGTTGATATGGCCCTGGAGCTAATACGGTTGTTAGACCAGATTTCTTCAAGTGAAATATCTTCTTACCTTCAATCACAACGTAGACTCCCCACCTCAAATCGTTGAACACGGCTCGGCTATCCTTTTCTAGGCAAGACACAACTTCCACAGTGCCATACTTTTCAAGCTGACCTCCCTCTGACTTGGGCTTTAGTACGTTCGGCAAGTCATGGGTACCACAAGGTAGAAATTCGAGGCCGTTTGTGGGTGGACTGAGGTCGCATCCATTCGCAACAGCGGACATCTCCAGTGCCGACTTCGTTCCATCCAGGAATGAGTTGAACATCTGTGGGTTAAAATCTCCTGAAGCAAGCTGCTCTTCAGTAAAGCCATAGTGAGTCCAGATGGTGTCGGGGGTGGAATAGTGATATTGGGGTAGATGTTTCGTTCCTTTGCCGGCACAAACAACATTGCTGTTTTTGAATTAGTTAGGTTCTTGCGGAGATATGTAATTTAAAAATAACTCACAATCCAGCTGTTCTGGCCCAATCAACCATCTCTGCAATGAGAGCAGGTTGATCCCCGTATGCCATTGAATAAATGATCCCCGCTTCTTTGGCCTTGCGAGTCAACAATGGACCGGCGAGAACATCGGCTTCCACATTGATCATTACAATGTGCTTCTTGTGCTCACAGCACTTTAATTTAATTAGTAAATTTATTTCCAACAACTATTGGATTCAACTCACCAACAGAGCATGTCGCACACCTGCTGCGGGGTTTCCTGTTACTTCTAGAATCACATCGATCCCAGGAGTCGCAATCAACTGCGCCGAGTCGGTGGTGATTGCTGTCTTATTCGACTTAATTCCATTCTCAATAGAAAGAGTCGCAGAGATGTCGTATTTATCTTCTGGAAATCCTGTCTTCTTCAAAGCATCCAATGCCCGCTGCGCAGAGAGGTCTGCAATACCAGCCAGTCGAATGCCTTTGGTTCGGTGCGACTGTGAAATGCTTGATGTATATCAGTAAAAGTATGCCACGAGCTCTTTATCGACCTTTTGGATATTTCACTTACAACATGGATCCAAATTTACCTGCACCGATGATTCCTACTTGGATCGGGCTACCGGATTCCTCCAGCTGGGCCAGCTTTGTCGACAAGTTAGTCATTTTGAATTAAAAGAAGTCAAATTCGTGGTAAATGAGGTCAATCTTTTGGTTTAAACAAAGTGTAACTTAAAAATGGATTAGGGCCAGCTTTTATCACCTATACACGGTCATCGGGATATCGGTGCCATTTTCCGATTTCCCGGTGGTGGAGTCAGGCCATCTCCTACCCCGGCTTTTCCCCACATTTTTGCCCCGGTTACTCGGCCAGCCTTGTCATACATATCGATTCTGAACTCCGGTGAATGAAACCCCTGGCACGAGTTATTTAAGTTGAGACTCATTCCGCCCCGCCTGGTGCCTCTTGATTCATGTCTTTGTTTAATATGATACACCCCTTGACCATCTCAACATGCAGCTCACGCAGCAGAACAAAATAAACCCCGAGACGGTTCAACGATGGAAGCAATTGGTTGAATCATGGTCTCCAGAGGAGCGGGTTGCAAAAGGAGAAGCGCTTCGTTCGTCGAATTGACTTCCATTTGATTCCTATTCTTGTATGAGATACCCGCCTTCTAAGCTACGATGAAGCTAGGCTAACTACTACTCTAGCTCATCATGTATATTATGAATTACATAGTATGATTCCACATCACCTACGAATACTTCACACTCCAGTACTTACACATTTGTTCCTCCAGGACCGCAATGCCCTACCCCAAGCGCGAGTACAAGGACTGGAAGATGATATTGGCTTAGTTGGAGTGGAATACAATATTGTTCTAAGCCTAACATTTATCGGATACATTCTGATGCAAGGTACTACACTATATATACCCACTAGAAACCATTGTCTAACGGCTAAATCCAGTTCCGAGCAATATGCTCTTGGGGATTCTGCGCCCAAGCTGGTATCTTGCAGGATGCATGATCATATGGGGTATAGTTTCCGCTGCTAGTGGAGCTGTGCAAGAATTTGGGGGTATGTCCTTTGTTTCAAGTGGTGAACGAAGAGAAAACGTCACTGAAAAAATAAATCTCTTTAGGAATTGCTGCCTGCCGCTTTTTTCTCGGAATTTCAGAGTATGATAATTTTCCTCGCTATTCGATTTCTGGGCTAAATTGACAACTACATAGAGCACCATTCTTTGCTGGGGTTGCATTCTTATTCTCTGGGTGGTACACCCGCAAAGAACTAGGCATGAGGCTGGGTATCTTCTTCTGTGGTGCTATGCTCTCCGGAGCCTTCGGTGGCCTATTCTCAGCCGGGATTGCTGCTGCGTTCGCACATAACAAGATCGCAAGCTGGCGGTAAGACTTTTGCGGATAGAACTTGAGACGATTTAAGCTAATAAATATGCAGGTGGCTTTTCATCATCGAAGGCGCTGCTACGGTCTTCTTTGCGTTAGTAACTGGCTTGGTTATACCAGACTGGCCGTCCACAACCAAGTGGCTCTCGGACGAGGAGAGGGCTTTGGGAATGGTGCGACTTTACGAAGACTCTGGAGACGAAGAGGACGAGATCAAAACTATGACTGCCTTCAAGATGACAGCTAAAGATTACCGCGTCTGGCTTTGTATTCTTGGCCAGGTAAGACGTCTAAATCGGGCTGGTAGGTACTCTCTGCTTATTAAAAGGACATTAGTTTTGTGCTCAGGCGGTGGCATCCTTGACAAACTTTTTACCCACGTTGGTTAAAAGCTTTGGTTTCAACACGATCCACACACTACTTTTGACAGCCCCGGTTTGTTTTCTCCAGGTCAAGAATCCCAATCGTCAACTTGAATATACTAAAGGTTGCCAGCCATATTTATTTACAGCCGCATTTTGCTTGTGGAATACCTGGTACTCAGACAAAACCTCGAACCGATCGAATCATATAATATTCCCAACAGCAGTTGCAATTATTGGAATCATCTTGACGATGGCGACATTGAATATTGGCGCTCGTTATTTCGCCCTTTTCCTCATGCTGGGAGGAACCTACGGCTGTTTTCAAATATCCAATGCATGGATGGCAAATATCGGTGCCCGGCCACGAAAGAAGCGTGCGGTCGCATTGGCCATGAATAATTCCTTTGGAAATATTGCGCTCGTCTGGACACCCTATTTATACCCCAGCAGCGATGGACCACGGTACCTGATGGGTAAGACAACTTTCCAATATTGTCCCCAGATACTGCTACACATTTACTGATACATGCTTCCTTTTATAGCCTGGTCGGTCAATCTGGCACTTGCAGTAGTTCTCCTTTTATCGACTGTGGTTCTGAGCATATGCTTGCGGAGAGATAACAAAAGACACCCGATAATTGACAATGGCCCAGGAATAACTACGACGGATGATAACAAGGCATCTTCTGACTATGTAGAAGATGCAGGAGTTTCACGCATTCTGGCACGCTATGATATCTAATTTGCAGTATCTCTGTTTGACAATTAACCAGTTGGGTTTCTCTGCTTCAGCTTCAAGTTGCCAGCGTTCATTGCGAAGAATATCGGCGCATGGGCCTACTCTAGATAATTAAAATGAGGAGGTATAATTGAAGTGCGCAGCTTCAAAATTTGAATCGCCGAACCAAAAGAGTGCAAAATAAGACATAAACTAGAAAAATGATTCTATATGAACTCAAATAAACAACGCGCCCAATCTGAATTACTTTATTTTAGCAGTCTTGTTTCTGGGAACGCGAAAGAGTTTGTAGAACGTAACGGCCCCAACGGTGTTGACCACAATATAGACCCAGAGAAGACCAAAATCTCGCCATCGGTTAGAGAATTGAATGCCAAGGCTCTCCAAAAATTCGTTGGTATTCCCCATGGCACAAAAACTGCAACTGTTGTTCACCTGGGAGTCGACACTGAGCAAATATCCAGGGTTTGTTGACAAATAGTCATTCATATAATCCGTGCAGGTCTTCCCTGCTGGGGCCGCAAAGGATAGTACTTCGTTGTCGGCACAGTGCATAGGCGCATTACCAAGAGAGGTGGACAAGAAAGAAGATACCATGTAGGTCAATGGGTTGACTCGGTACATAAAGATCCAAAATCTCGGCAGAGCGGAAGGCCCGGCAAGAATGCCGCAGAAGGCATACATCAAAATGAACATGATGTTTGAGAGGCTGGATGCAATCTCTGCACTCTCCAATCCAGCAATCAACATGTGCCCGAAGGAACTGGCGAAGAGAAAAGAAGCCCAAATAATGAGGACTGCATGAGTGCTCCGGATATGGATAGTATCAGTATACTCGGCATTTTGGTAAAGGCCGACAGGATAAAACCAAACGATAAAGCAGAGAATTGCCATTAGCTGGCGAAAATGGGTTGGTTAGTCGGATCTGAGGCAAAGGGACAGTGATCAAGGAAGATAGAACTTACTGTATTCCATGCAAACTCGACCGCGATATTGGATAAAATAAAAGCCTGCCAAGCATATGTCTTAGATTGTCGTTCTCGCGATTCGTACAGTGTTCTCTGAGTGACGAATGTTGGAATTATCTGAAGAACAAGTTGGACGATGACGAAAAGGAATACGAATACTCCAAACATTTGGTTTTGTAAACCTTGTTTAGTGTTGTCTGCTTTGAAAAACGAAAATCCGATGAAGAGAGCCTGTAGAACCAGCGTTAGATACCAGGAAAGTCCAGCCATCGGAAACTTACTCACACTCCCAACAGTAAGTAAGGCTTTGGAATAGATGTAGGACGGCGTGCGCCAGTATTGCTGAAACACACGTCGTCCGACCAGAATCAGTTGTTCGAAAAATGGCGCAGCGAACTCGGTATAGCTGGAAGCATTGCTCGAACCATTCATCAGAGACGATCTGTCGGTTGGATTTTTGAGTTTAGCAAGCTCCCTTTGAACATCTTGATACTCACGGCTTTTTTGCCACACTGATGGCCAGTCGACATCTGTTTGCACACCAGGTGCAGCTCCAATCACATTGAGCATATGCTCGGCCGGGTTTTCACCCGAGGGACAAGCAGCACCACCATTTCGGACAAAGTAATCCATCATAGTCTTCGCTCCTGGTCCAACGTCACCAAAATATACCGTTTTGCCTCCCCGAGCCAGAAGAAGAAGCCTGTCAAAACGTTCAAATAGCATGGCAGAGGGCTGATGGATAGTACACAGAATTGCTTGGCCATTTCTCGTCAAGGTGTCCATAAGGTTGCAAATGGACCAGGAGGTCTGACTATCCAGACCAGAAGTAGGCTCATCGAGAAATAGCAGAAGCTTTGGACGAGCCACAACCTCAACACCAATTGTGAGGCGCTTGCGTTGCTCCACATTGAGTCCTTCTCCTGGCACTCCAACTATGGCGTCGGCATATTCTCTCATATTCAAGAGATCAATAACCGTGTCCACATATGCAAGCTTTTGCGCACGACTAAACTCAGGGGGCTGTCGTAGTAGGGCACTGAATTCCAATGCCTCCCGCACTGTTGAGGTATGGAGATGAAGATCTTGCTGTTGAACATAGCCTGTTTTTCGCTGAAACGACTCGTCTCGTGGTCGACCATCGACAAGCATTTCTCCCCCGACGACCCCGACTGTTGTACGGCTAGCTAGAACGTCGAGAAGGGTAGTCTTTCCCGCACCAGAAACACCCTAGGTTCCATTCATTAGTTTCCGCCACCAAGAAAACTTTCAGGGGAAGGTAGCGTACCATGAGTGCTGTCAACGTCCCCGGACGAATCCATCCGTCGACTTGATCTAGAATCCTCCTCGGCTCACCTTTGATTTTGATATCATAAGTCACATTCTGCCAGTGGAATATCGAAACTTGCTTTTCCACACCAGAGATATCCTCAGGCTCATCAGTGACTTGAAAGTTATTCTGAGCCATGGTAGATGGCAGCTTTTCCTCATCCTTGTTATCTTTCTTTCCCCGCATTGGTAGCGTCCTCCCACGGCGGAAAACAAGAACTTCACCTTTGGAACGCTGAGAAGAAACAAGCTCCGATGTTACCAAGTGGCAAAATGTAAGGAAGATTGTCAGAGCGATGATGATTCCGAAGTTTCGCCAACGGTGGGAATTCTCATAACCAAACGAAGAGCGTATGTAATCTGTCCCTTGGACGACATCGGAGCCTGGAACAGCTCCAACCACTGAGCACACTTTCTCGAGACTTGAAGCATTCTCATAACCCGGTCCGGATGGCACAAATGATGAACATTCAAATTCTCGCCCATGGAACTCATTGACCATCACTGCTTCAAATCCATACGAGACTGGGTTTAACCATCTTATCCAGGATGCCCAGCCACGCATGTATTTGACAGGTATAGCAAAGCCTGTGTAGAGCACCAGTGCCAATAGGATAATAGATGAGGGTGCCAGAGCTTGTTCGATTGACTTGGTTAGCGAGGCGAAGAAACGGAAAAACATTGACATGCCCATCATCATGGAAAAAGAGATGAGCAAAAGAAAGAAAAATGCCCCAGGCTCTCGTCGGAGATTTGACATGAAGTAAAGCGCAAGATTTGTCAAAATCGAGTTTGTGATTTTGTAAGGCATGTCCATGATAAGTGACGAGATAGCTTCGGCGCTTGGGTGATAGAGCGCATATCGCCTGTGCTTTTCAATAATTGTCCGTTTCTCGTATAGTACAATAATTTCAAGCATGCTGGAGAAGGCACTTAGGAGAACCATCATAAACAAAAGAGCTCCACGGGAGAAGAACGAGTTTGTTTCTTTCGAGAGATTGTAGAATAAACTTGCGATTATCAACGCCTCAAAGAAGTTCCCGATCAACATGGCAAGTGTCACGCTGGGGTCATTCTTCAATCGTTGTAAATCCCTCCAGAGACAGAGGCGGATCTGACCCCAATAAGAGAGAGTATAGGGGGATTTTGAGCTCTGCATTTTGGACTTTTCCTCTTGGCGGGATAGGGCGAAGTGGCCAAGATCAGTGGCGTTGAACGGATGCTCATTAACGTAGCGATCGATATCCTGGAGCAATGATTTGTACTCCGAACTTTCTTTCCAACGATCAACAAACTCATCCGCTGTTCTGGGAGCTCGACTCTCTGAATCTGGATGTATGATGCGCTCAGATGGACTGCACATTGAAGTCAGGAAATCTGGAGTTGTTTGGGCGTCAGGGCAAACGAATCCGAGTCGCACGAAATAACCTCTGGCATCCTGAGCTGGACCAAAGAATATTTGTTTTCCTTCATAAAGAACAGTGACTTTGTCAAATAACTAAGCAAACTTGTTAGCGGGTTTCTAAATGAGGATATCGACGCGATGCACTTACCTCGTAGGCTGCCTGGGGCGCTTGGTAGATAGCAACGCACGAGGTTGCCCCGAATACATCCCCTTGGGTGCGCAAGGTACGACAGAACTCCACGGCATTTGCACTGTCCAGACCACGAGTACTGTTATCCCAGCATTGCAACGGGGCGTAGCTCAATGCAGCTTCTGCGATAGTTACTCGTTTTCTCTCACCTCCGCTAACACCACGGACGAAGTCGTTGCCAACACGTGTGTTGAGGGTGTGACTAATTCCAAATGTAGCCATTATCACATCTCTTTGATGAATGGCGTATTCTTCACGGGTAATTGCACCTGGTATCTCACGAGGGGCACGGGCAAGAGCGGCGAAGTACAAGGTATCGCCGACGTCGAGCTGTGGATAGTGTGCGTCCACTTCTGCAGTGTAAATAGCCTCTCCGCGAAAGCTCTTCGACATTTGTTTTGCAGTAATTCCTTGGTAGTTGACGTATGAAGCTTGATCTATTTCAAGCCCAGGGGTTTCTTGTGCGATGGTTTTGAGAAGTGTCGAACAGCCTGAGCCGGGCGGTCCTAACACACAAAGCTGCTCACCAGGAAGGATTAACCCGTCGATATCTCGAAGTATGTCGACTCGCTGTTTTCTGCCAACAAGCCACTGTCGTGAAATGGAGGCAAGCTTCAGGATCGCGTTCCCGACGCTCGCTTGATAATCGACGCTGCTTCCGTACCCGCTCACATTCAAATTTTTGAAGGCTACACCGGCCACACGCGGTCGACTTTCATGATCATTCCGATAGCGAACATTATAAAAGGCGTTTGCCCAAGCTTTCGCGTTGAAGTTGGGACTCTGCGGATCGAGCGAGCTATCTTGCCCAGGGGTGAAGGAGGTTTGATGGTGAGTGTGACTTGATTGAGCGCTGAGTTTGCGGGCTAAGTCCGCCAATTTCCGATCGTTTTCGATTGCGTCGTCTGTGCCAAAGTCCATCTGTCTCAATTCAGAGTCGCGGTTTTCCGGCGCGGGCTTCCTCCCCAAGTCATTTCCATCTCCAGGATGCGGAGGGTTGTCGGAAGCCATCTGGCTCGCTTCACAAACTGTAGGAGACACGAAGAAATTATCAAGGAATGTGAAAACAAGAAAATCACGAGGTAACTGATCGCAGTGGAATAATCGTGAGGCACAGCGAAACTGAGATCATCTATATAAGCAATCGGTCACTGCATGAAATTCAAGTTGGTGGCTTGAGCCATGGCTAGACCCTCTCGGAGCTTGGCATTTCAGCAGCTTAGGCCTGAGCATCGAGAAATCTAACTCAGGGGCGTCTCGAATGAAGTTTGTCCGAAAAAATGTGCGAGATGCCAAGTCCTCAACGGTCAAATTGCGTCGTGGACTAGTCACTGTATGGAGGAGTACACGTTAGTCGGATCCCGCGGGGCCCGCCAGGATGATCGTGATGTCGCCAAGTTCTTGGCTGTGATTCGTCTTCTTATTTACTATGAATTATCTGGTGAAGCCTAGATGGTGGAGACTAAGCCAAGAGTCCGAAAGTCCGAGATAAAAAGGCATGCCATGTTCAATCAACTTCAAATACCGAGCGCGCCACCTAAGTTCGGAAGAGTCAACTTTACATATTCCGAATCAACCATCGCTCGGACTTCCAACTCAAGATTGATCCACACTTTCTAAATTCCAGGCAACAACCTTGGTCAGATTGTCATTTTCTCTTCGAAATGAAGCTATCGGTGAATAGTCAGCAGATGATATCCGGTCTGGGCTGGCACTAACTAATATTGATGCTAGTGCTCGAGGTGCAGGGCTAGAAAGGTTTTACTCCAGAGTAATCGGTTCCAAAGAGGCTTACTGACTCCCTCAAGCTCAAGTGTGATCGAGGGACCCCGAGCTGTGAAAGATGCCAGAGTATTGCAGAGCCGTGTGCTTACCCTGAGAGAAAGAAATCAACGAGAGTGCCGTATGTTTCCTTTTGATGCTGAAATATAATCCTGATTTGTACTACTTCTAATAGAAACCCCGCCTAGGCAAAAAGTCCAGCTTCGCAAGATTGACCGTCGCCTTGAGTTCCTGGAAGAACGGATGGCGAGCCACTTGAGACCTATCGACGCCCAAAATGTCGGAAATGCCACCCGGCACAGATCGAGGGAATAGTGCGTGAGACCGAGCCACCGACGAAAGGTACGACCACTCGGAGAACAAATTCATTGGAAGCAACCGGACAATTGACTGTGACAGCATGGATCTACCGTATGGCGAGAGGCGAGAAGAAAAGCATTGAGAACTTGAATGAAAACGAAAAAGGAAAATCCAGTCTGGATATATTGTCTTCAAGTTCTCATACCCAAAACACGACCGGCAATGCCATGAAACGCTTGAATACAGCATTGGACCAGCTTGCTAATTCGACCCCAACTCCAGAAAGCCATCCTGTACACGACACAATGAGCCCCAGTGGTGCTGCACGTTATATAGAGGGTAAGCTACTAGATATCAACTCTTTAGACCATTTTACTAAAAATTACCTCCAGTTTTCTTGCAAGTCCTTTCAAGTTTGACTCACGTTATACCATTCCAGACCATGATAGACGCAGAGCTGTTGCGAGCAGTCCCTTATATAATCGACTCATCTCACGCGCAAGTCAGTCCGGCTATGAGAATAATCTATTTGAACGCGATTTATCGAGGTCAGACCTGTGGCAATGCGGACGAATACAAAGGAGCGCCAAGTACATATTACAAATGTTTGCGGTCAGTTCCCTCGTGGTTGAGCTCGGCCCAAGGGTCCCAGATGGACCTTATCGCTGCTTCTCTGACAGTAAGGCTAGACACATCATGTGCCAATAAATTACGGGTGCTGATGTTTTGAAACAGTCCTGGACCGCGATCGACAATTTTGACTACCATCTCGCCTGGAAATTCCATTCCGAAGCTTGTCGCTTCAGCGATATTTTAGGTATTCAAGACGTTGAGACTCCGGACTCGGGTTTGGCAGAAGATGATGCGGAGAAGAATGAGAAACGCCGAATTTATTGGCACTTGGTCACAACAGACTGCCTTTATATGCTTTGGTATGACAAACCCTCGGCTCTCAAGTCTCCAGTCTCTCGAATAAAGCTTCCTGTCGAGATATCGCCACGGACGAAACAACCGAAATTCACAAACTGCGTGCTCTTTATCGTCTGGTCGCGGGCGCTTTCTCTGCTAGAACAGTTTTTCAACCATTCTGTCCGTACAGAATATGACCAGATAGTTTCTTTTCAAGAGGAGGTAGACAGCTACTGCAATCAGCTGGAAGATCTTGTTCTAGATTGGGACTTGGTAGGTTTACCTAACAGGAGACCTCTCAATTATCTATCCCGTATTGACTTCGACATAGCTATCTATCACGAGATCTTCTAGGCTCGATGATTTAAAATCCTGGTTATTCGTGGACTCTATCGTCGCTTTCTACAGTTGTATAATTTACATGCGACGCAAAACATCCGTCATCGACGAAAAGGTCCATTCACAAGCAGTCCGGGCGGCCCGAAATATTCTCGCTATCATTATTGAATGGTCAGAGAAAAATCATTCTAGAGGGCGTGAGGGCTTACATATGCAGTACGGTACCCTCCCTACGAGTTATGACATCGTTTCTAGGAGCTAATCTTATCCAGGCTAGCCACTTTCTACCCTTTCTGTGCTTTCTTCACACTATATTACCATATCCTCTCGTCGACGGATTCCGACGAGTACGAAGGTGATATTCAGACTTTGGAAAAGGTTGTTCAGTATATGACAAAGATCGCTTCTATTAGACCGGACTTTGTGCCTCTTGTAGACGCCATGAGTGCGTTGAATGATGTATCGCGTGCGGCCCACTCATATCCAGATCCTGTTCACAGGCGAACCGGACTACCTTCAGATATAGCCGCAGAGGGGTCTAATAATCCCAGGGCTCCCTGTGTGAACGTGAGACAAGAAAATGGCCATAACCTGCAGTATCAAGTCCGTGAATGGAGTCTACAACAAGAGCCATTTTCGACCACACCGCAAGGTTCATCATTAACGAACTCGCTGTACAACATTTGTTCGGCACTGCCAACAACATCAGACGATGAATCGACATACAAGCTCGGGCCCTCTTTTCAATTTGAGAATCCAATTCCCAGCTACCTAACGCCTCCGCAAGGTGTCAAACCTGGATTGAGTGCGCCTGGATTTTCAGCTAAGATCGCAGATCCGCTGGAGTATGTTCATGCAATGGAAACCAGCTTCCACTGGCGAAACTGGCACGAACACTGGTGAAACTCAACTGAAAGAAATCACAAGGAGAGCTCAAGTCCATGGGATTTGGTCTAAGGGGATAGCCATATTCATGGTTTAAATTATTTCAACTCTCATGAATGCTGGTGAATGAATGTATAGATGCAGTTCGGTATTCAGTAATATGGGGGGGTAATACAGAATGCTAAACTTTCTCCTGTTGTACTCCGTACTGACAGGAATATTTCCGAGGATCGCCACGCTCCCAATGGTGGAGTGAGTGTGAGTGGTGAAAGGTGAGAGCGTGTGGATGGCCCAGAAGTCCGCAAGTCTGGGGAATGCGGGGGCCCAGCCTCATTTCCCGATTTCCCGGTCACTTCTCCCTTCTCTGCTTCGTGCATGCGTAGCACAAGCAACACACACTAGCTCTGTCAAAATGAATGATGCAAATATAGAAGAAGCTCTCATCGACAATGAATCTGTTCCTCATGGCTTAGACGATGCCCGGTATCGAAGCTCTCGAGCAGGCCGCCCTAAAAATGGTTACTTGAGACCTCTTGGTGGACCGGGCAGAAAGCCGCGTGCTTGTGAGTGTTCAATCGCTGTTTCTTGCTCGGACGATAGCATTTCTAATAAGAGCTCAAGGTCTTGCATGTCGACATCTCAAAATGAAATGCGAAATCCTTCCAGAGCAGCCTCGGTGTAAGAGATGTCATAAGAAAGACCTTGACTGTGTCGCCTTTCGAAAGCCCAAGCTGCCCGGTTTCTCATATGAGTCTAATGAGTATGAGAAAAGCATAATCTTCACTGCATTCCACCAGCTTACATTCTACTAGGGACCAAATTGATTCAATGCGAAGAGAAATTCAGAATCTGCAAAAGACCATCCATTCTCTGGTTTCGAATCATGAAAGGCCTCATCCTCAGATCTCAGGGCCAGTCTTGGACTCCCAAGTCTCACCATATGGACCTTCTGAGTCAATCAAAAGTATAGGTCAAAGCCCTTCTTTATCGATAAGTCAATCTCCTGCGAATTTATCGTCCTGTGCCAAGGCGACTGAGAATCACGGCATGGCAATGACGAGAGAGAATTCACCAGAGCCAACACAAGATACCAACCTCGGAGCGACTTCTGTATTAGTAACAGAGCCAATGGGCGGACTGTATGAAGTGACTAGGCTACGCAATATTCGAAGTAATCAGGCGAAGCTTGATATTTCGGGGCCGAGCGGAGAAGAGAAGATGGACGATTTTATCTCTAGAGGGGTATGTGGTCGCTGAAATCAAGATGGTACAATCGATGGGCTGACAATACGCAGGTAATTAGTGAGGAGGAAGCAGAAGATCTTTATCGGATGTCAGTAAATCTTCTCTTCCTTATTCTCCTTGCTAACAAGCAGCAGCTTTCATATATCGCTGAATCACTATCTCTGGGTTGGCCTAGAGCAGATACACAACAGCTTAGCCTCTGTTCGCCGCTCATCGCAACTACTCACGGCGACGATCTTGACCGTGACGGCCCTTCATATACCGTCCAGTGCTAAAACATTCGATGACTGCTATAGTGAATTCCTCAGTCTTATTTCATCTTCGATGTTTTCCCGATATCACTCTGTGGATGATGTCCGGGCTCTCTGCATTGCCGCTTTCTGGCTTTCTGATGGTAGGAGAATGGTACTCGGACAGGAAATAATCTCTTCTAACTAATTCTACCAGTCTCTTGGAAGCTTTCAGGACACGCCATTCGCATTGCCACCGAACTAAATATTCACCAATCCTTTTTCAAAGCCTTAGAGGGTGACCCCGAGCACTTTTTAAGAGCAAGGCTTTGGTATATGCTGTAGGAATTCTCTATTGCATCTCCCTCCGCTGCTATGGCACAATTTGCTAATATTGCATCAAGCTATGTTTGCGACCACCACTTTAGCATCGCCTACGGACGACCTCCAATGATAAGCGAGAGTCTCCAGATAAGAGAACATGAGATATTTCTCGATCTTCCACTCGCAGATGCTATTGATTTTCGTGTCCTGTCGCAAGTCTCCTTATTCCAAATATTGACTCGCGTACATGATTGCTTTGCTGAGAGAAGACTCCCGCATCAAGATACCACGCGGGCCCTACTGTCTGAGATGAATTTCCCTCAGATGCGATGTTTTAACCTGGAGATTGATAAATGGAGAATTCTGTGGCAGTCCCGCCAAGGTATGATATGAATTTCAGCAGTCTGGGTTCAATTTCTGGTTCAAGTTCCAGGCTTGCTGATGTTTTATCTACAGTGGCAAATAAATACATTGGATCGTTTCCACCAAAGGGAATTGTTCTCTATTCATATTTCGCTAAATTTCAGCTTAACTCCTTCGCTGTCCGAGGCATAAATATTTATGAAGGAATTATCTCTACAGAACGCAAGGAATTTGCGAACATGGCTGTCTCGGCTGCAGCAAGCTCGCTCACATTTGTTCTTGAAGAGGAAGATCTTCGTCGTGCTTTAGTGGGCACGCCTTTGTGAGACACTTCCCGGCGCCGAAATGTTTAATCCAAGCTAACTAGACACTTTGCTTCTAGATATGTCCATACTATGATTGCATTCTCTGCAGTCTTCCTCATGAAAGTGGCGACAAAGTGGAATGCGGTTGGCTTCAATATTGATCCTGCATTTGTGTGGGATTTGCTCGACCGAGTGATCCATCTTCTCAAGACAACAATAACTAGTAAGCGACATCTACTTTATCACATCGGAGCCGGACTTGAGAAAATGAGGACAAGGCTTCTGGAGCAAGAGAATGATCCCCAGAGTAGCACACCGCTTCATCAGCAATACCAGACCCCGTTTGGATGCTGTGGTGATAGTGAGAATACAATCAATCAACCAACGTGCATTCATGACCGGAGTGGAGACTTTGGTTCTTCTACTTGGACCAATAGCTCTCAGATGGCTGCTGTGGATGAATTTCCGAACGAAACTGATGGCATGAAGAAAAGGACTGCCCCCGAGACAGAATCCGGATTTGATCAAATAATGTCCATGAGCAATGACTTGATATACGAGGTTTTTGGAGAGAATGAGTCATCCTATGATGTTTACAGCCTTCTGAGCAGTCAATTTGCAGGATAACAGAGTCCAATCCAAACTATCGAAAGCAGCACAAATAGAGGCAATCATATAGCTGATATAATTGAACAATTACTCATCAATCCGGAATGATAATAAAGAATGCGTATTCAGTCTCTCAACATAATCAATACCCAGGGCAATGGTCAACACACTCATAGTGCTGCTAGTACGAAGTCAGACGTGCATGACTAGGGCCGTTGGGTAAAGCACATACATCCGAAAGTCTCCGGCATGTCAAGCCGAGCCTGGCAGTGCAGCACCTGGGGATTCTACGTAATTGGATCTGTCCTGAGACAGGGATGGGGGCGGAATATAGCCCTCAACTTCGAGGGTTCGCTGAGGTCAACATCAACATCGGGAGAGGACCAGCCCGTCCACACTGGCCGGGAGACCGGACCATTTTATACTTGTACCTCGAGGGCTCGAGATGGAGATGATCATGTACTACTCCGTAGTTAGTAGTAGTACTAGTACCAATTGGATGACCGCACGGTGCAGGTGTGTGGCAAGGGCGGGCGACTGGAACGTGTGCCAGTGCCCCGCTGGCAGGCGATCGGCATCACAGCTCGTGGGGCAGTCTAGACCATAATTGTATGCGTTGGTCGTAGTATTATACCATTGATCAAGTTCCAAGGTTAGCAAGTCAGTATTTCCTGTCCACCTCAGGTCCAGAATTGGATATCATTCCCATCTTATATGTTGATACTTCCAGTTTGTCTCCTATTCCCTCCCCACGTGATCGCGGTGGCACCCTTCCATTGACCAAACACTCCCAAATGACCACGGCTGTCGCACCGAATGGATTCCTGTCGTTGGCCGTGAGAAGGGGTGGTACTGATTTGAAACGTTTGGTCTGGTCTGGTGTTGTCCTGATCTTTCCAGTTCATGTGGACCACCTGGGCAAACGCAACAATGTTCTCGAGTCTCGCCAGTTCGCGAAGTATGGACATGGGCATGGGCATGGGCCCATTAGGATTGGAATCCGCGCGAATTCTGACAGGACCAGGATCCACTCGCGGCATGCCAGTCGGAAGAATCACCAAACCCCTCTCTTCTCTTTAATTTTGTCCGCAATGTGTAGAGACCGATCAGGAGCCCCGAAATAAATTGAGTAGCCCCGGAGTGAGACCTCCGGGGTGGGGAGGACAGGGATCCCTATGATCCCGGCTGGAGGTTGCACGAGAGTGGATGGGGGTGAGAGATAGTTAGATGGCAAAGACTCAGGGGAACAACGAGATTCCTTTTTTTTGATCCAGTCCTCTAGTGTTCTGGTATGTGTAGGAGAGTATAGAGTGTAGTAAAGTAGAGTATTGTAGAGGGCGAGTGTAGAGTAGAGAGTAGAGAGTAAAGTAATCTCCGTCACCCGAAACTTTTCTTTTCTTTTCTCTCAACTCCACCGCGAGTGCTGCCTCTCTCTCTCTTCCTCTCTTCTTCTTCTTCTCTCCCCCCCCCCTTTCCCTCCTCCCCCTCTTCTCTCTCTCTCCCCGGGCCTCTCTTTCTTCTTCTTTTGATCGACACCTTCATTCGTGTCGAATTGTCTCTTATATAGAGACAATCCTCCCCCCCCCCCCCCCCGCCCCCTTCTTTGCTCCCCTCCCCGGGTTCCTCTTCCCCCCCCTGCCGCTCCGTTGGCAACCAAGTCAGCGATGGCGGCCGTTTCAGCACCTACCCCTAAGCTGGATCGCTATATTGTCATCCACGTTGCAACCACTTGCGACGAACATGGCGTTTATGTCACCAAGGACTCAGCCGAGGTGATCGAATTGGGTTGGATTTTGTTGGACAGCAAGACCTGTGAGGAGGTACACACAATTCCCGCCCCAACCGTCCAACCGTTTCCACGTCGCCCCCGATTTCCCCTCAACCCCGACTATCCCAATGGGAAAGACTGAAATTGAGGGCGATATGAGGAAAATGGATCCTGAAAGATATTACCACGAAACCAATGCTTATCATCTCAATTCTTTAGTTGCACCGGGAAAGTGTCCTCGTCAAGCCCGTCAACACTCCCATCACCCCACTCTGCAGTAAGCGCTTCATTTTTTTTCCCCAGCACTCCTATCTCCAGAGAGATGATCACCATCGGGCAACCCTCAGTCAGGCACTAATACAACCACTTGAACTATATAGCAAGCTTGACTACCCTCACATGGGAGCACGTCCGCTCCGCAGGTACCTTCCGCGATGCCATTTCCCGATTCGATACTTTTGCCAACGAGCATCTTACCAGCAAACAACTGGAGTTTGCTTTTGTGACGTTGGATTCTTGGGATCTGCGCGTGCAGCTGCCCCGCGAGGCCCGTGACAAGGCCGTTGTCCTCCCCCCCATTCCTGCAGCACTCCCGCACTTTCGACCTGCGCACCGAATATCAGCGCTGGCAAACCCATCACCCCGAGTCTTTGCCCTTCGGCCCCAGCTCCCTCTCCAACATCTGTGCTGCCCTCGAAGTCGAACCCGTTCAGTCCTCGGCCCCCATCAAACACAATCTGCCCTTCCACCTGCAAGCACTGGCTCCCGCCTCCCCCCGCCGTGCCATGGAGGAGTCGATCACCCTCGCCCGTGTCCTCCGCGGTCTGATCCGCAAATCCCAACCCGCCCAGGAACACCCCGAGATCCTCACTCGTCCCATGGATGCCCACGCCGATGTGCGCGCTTTCCTGGCTGAGCGAAGCAAGGTTCTCCATCTCAGTGGTCTGCCCCACGACACCACCCAGTCGGAGTTGGAGAGTTGGTTCACTCAGTTCGGTGGCCGGCCCATTGCCTTCTGGACCCTCCGAACTCCCGATCAGCACAAGCCCACTGGCACCGGCTTCGCTGTATTCTCTTCCCACGAAGAGGCCGCCGAGAGCCTGTGCATGAACGGCCGCGCTCTGAACGAGAAGGCCATCGAGGTCTCCCCATCTTCCAGCCGCGTTTTGGACCGCGCTGCGGAAATTCTCACTCCATTCCCTCCTTCTAAGAACCGTCCTCGTCCTGGTGACTGGACCTGCCCTTCATGCGGCTTCTCCAACTTCCAGCGCCGCACTGCTTGCTTCCGTTGCTCATTCCCCGCCATGGCCGCCGCGCCTGACCCAATGGGCTACGGATACGGCTACGGACCCCCCCAACATGATGCCTCCTCACATGGGCCACGGCCACGGAATGGGCGGCCACTCGCGTGGTATGGGCGGCGGTAATGGTGGTGTTGTTCCTTTCCGTGCCGGTGATTGGAAGTGTGGTTCGGAGGGTTGCGGTTATCACAACTTTGCCAAGAACATCAACTGTCTCCGCTGCGGTGCGCCTCGCTCAGGGGCTGCCGTCGTGGCCGACTCGGCGTTCCCTTCTCCCATGGAACCTCCATCGGGCTTCAATATGGGACCTAACTCCATGGCCAGTACTCCCGCTCCTGGACCTTTCGCCTCGACCGCAGGTGGATTCGGCGGATTCGGCCAGCAGTTCGGTGGTGGCCCTCCCAACAACTATGCCCTCCCCTCCGGCGGACTGGGTAACGCCCCCGGTGCCTACCCTCCTATGGGCCAGGTCAACTCTGGCTACGGTTCATCTAGCACCTCTCACTCCGCTGCATCCTTCGCCAACCCGGCCACCCAGGCCGCGTTCACTGGCGCAGACCACGGCGTGCCGTCAACCAGTGCTTCCAACGGCGCTTTCTACGGCGGTGCCGAGGGCTCTAGCGATCCCTTTGCCTTCCTGTCGACCGGTCTCGGTGGTCTGACCGTTGCGGATGATCCTCACTCGCGCCGCAACGGTGCTGGTGCCAACAAGTCTCCCGCATAAAGCGAATAGACTGTCTATAAATCCAAACAAAAAAACAAAGCCCAGCCGGGCGGTCACACTTACGTTGTCCATATTGCAACCCTGCATTGTGGCAGGTTTATGCGTTGGTTGATATTCGTTGATACGCATTTGTATAAGGGTTCTGCGGTTCCGGGTGCATCGGGTTGGAAGGAGCAGGCGGGTGGGTAGCGTCTTGATGGTTCTGGATGTTTTGTCTCGCCTCGCCGGTGATTTGTGGGATGCTTTTTTTTACATATCCTTGATTCCATCATCAGCTCTTCATGGTCTTTTGGTTCTTTTGGTCTGCTGCTTTTATTGGTTTTTTCCTTCTCATCTTTTTGTGATTATTTTTTCCTCTTTTCCTTTTCCTTTTTGTCCCATTTTCATTGTTCAGGGATGGCGGCCGCGGGAATCCCGGGCGTGGGTTCTTTTTTTCTCTATCAGCCGTTGTCGGTGTGGGTTTTTCGGACGCGAACGCATTGTGAGCCTGGGTTGAATGGAGAATTGAGTTGAGTTGAGCACTCGCACTCTCTGAACCTGCTTTGCATTTTAGATCTTTTGTCATCTCTTTCTTGCGTTGGGTCCATGGCAAGCGTCGGAGAATTCACGGTATTTGATCTCACGGGTGGGATACACAATGGCTCGGACTCCGTTGGGGGTGTTGGGGGGATTTCCTTTTGCGCTTGCGCTGGCATTCGATTGAGGTTCTCAAGGTTCTCGGTTGGGAATTCCGCCAAGCTCTTGTGAATGTTACTAAAAAAGATTGTTTGTCCATATTTCCTCATGTTTCTTGTATCTTGTTTTCTCTTCCCTGTATTTGTCTCGGGTGGCTTTGGGAGAAGCCTTTCCTGTATAACATTGAGGTGTCGAATCAATTGGTACACGGATGGACTATTGTTGGGTGTATTGAGAAGGAGCTATGATGTAGTCATACTGGGACTAGTAGTTCTAGCGTCTTCAGTTGATTGAAGATGTTTTCTATAAATCAGCTTCTCCAATGTACTAGTGAAGTAGACTCGTCGCTAACTATGTGGACGTATATTGCCTTAAAAGACGGAATGACAACAACCAAAAAACATAGACAGAAATAATATTATAATTTGTATACACTTAAATAGTCCCTTTTCTTAAAGACCAACTTGAATTCTCCGAAATAACCATAATTACCAAATCATTGGCAGCCATCTCTCCTGTAGTTCTCATCCGCGCGGCTGCGCCAAGGCAACTGTCTGTTGTCGCGTCCACCGCCCGCAACCCCGTCATTGCTGCTACTGCCGCTACCGCATCTCATCGTGCTCTGCTCAGCTCTCCCACCTTCCACACCATCAATCCCTCCGACAATCTCCCTTCTTTTCAATCCCTCGCATCTCTCCCTCCTCTTTAATATCCCGCCACAATGTCCGGCTACGACCGAGCTCTCTCAGGTAAGCCAGCTAGCTCTCCCCCGTGGAGCTCCCTTTGCTCCAGCCCTCGATTAGAGCCCTTAGATGCTAACTCATCCTAGTATTCAGGTATGCGACTTAGACTCGAAGCTTTAGCTATCTGAAATCTAACTTAGCCCAGTCCCGATGGACACGTTTTCCAGGTCGAGTATGCCATGGAGGCCGTCAAGCGCGGTAAGACGAACCCACCCATCCCAACAGCATTTTGCACAGCTCCAGCTGCGTCGATCTACGGATGCTCAGACTTCGAACCACAAATGACTGATACATCCGCCCCTTCTAGGTACCTGTGCCGTCGGTGTGAAAGGTGATGACATCGTCGTCCTCGGCTGCGAGAAGCGCTCCGCCCTCAAACTTCAAGATACCCGCATTACCCCCTCTAAAATCGCCATGGTTGATGATCACGTCTGCCTCGCCTTTGCCGGTCTGAACGCCGATGCCCGCATCCTGATCGATAAGGCCCGGTTAGAGGCTCAGTCCCACCGCCTCACAGTCGAGGACCCCGTCACCATCGAATATATCACCAAATACATCGCCAGTGTGCAGCAGAGATATACCCAGAGTGGTGGTGTCCGTCCGTTCGGTATTAGTACGCTGGTCGTTGGATTTGACAAGAACGATGGAACCCCCCGCCTCTATCAGACCGAACCGTCTGGAATCTACTCTGCCTGGTGAGTGCCGAATCTGGCTGACTGGCTAGCCAGCCAGCCCGTCCTTCAAATTTAGCCTTGACATTTGGATTCTAATTCAATATCTTTTATCACGCAGGAAAGCCAACGCCATTGGCCGATCTAGCAAGACCGTTCGCGAGTTCCTCGAGCGCAACCACCAGGACGGCATGGACCGCGAGCAGACAATCCAGCTGACCATCAAGTCATTGCTGGAGGTTGTGCAGACCGGCGCAAAGAACATCGAGGTGGCCATCATGGCTCCCGGAAAGCGGGTCGAGATGTTGCCGGATGACCAGATCGAGTCGTACGTTAAGAGCATCGAGACGGAGAAGCAGGAGGAAGCTGCCAAGAAGAAGACTAGCCGGACGGCTACCACCACAGCGGCCATTCTGACCCGGCCCGGTGGTGAATAGATAAAGATTCTCTGAGAGGCGGGACTTTCATGGATAGGATGGCGGATAGAGGATTTGATTTGGTCCTAGGCTTGAGCTGCCTGGATTTTGATTGTCGATTTACTGTAGCGCTGGTCCCTTATGAAGACAAAACCACGATATTTTATATTATGCCCTTTTCAGTGGATGTAGAAATGATTATACTACTAGTAATATGTCCATTGTCCTTGAAAGAATGGATAGTAGACCAGTAGTAGCTACCTAAGATAAAATAAATAGGCCAATCTATTCCGTCTTGGGTAGCTACTAGTCTGTCAACTATTCAAAGGCAGAAGATTAAGAGAGTACTCTTGTTGCAACTGAATTTTATCTAAATCCCAAGGTTTGTATTGGAAATACATACTAATCTGGACTAAGAAGGTCCAAGGTCCAATTAGTCAAAAGGATGGTCCAAATAGCAGTACTCCTTGATACTAGTAGGGTGTCTACGATGATAGGACTTTGCTTCAAGGTCTTGTTGGACTTCACGAAACCCACGCCAACCAGGTCTCGTATCCTTTGACATTCCACTCAGTTTTAAGCTCCTAAGCTCCCATAATATACAACAAAAAAGAACAGGGTATTGATGCCAGGGATCTTTGTCAACTCCAAGAAAATCATCGTATCGTCAACATCATAAAATATGTGCAGGACACTCCTCTAGCCCATGCGGTCGGAGACATCGCGAAATTTGAAGAGGGATCGGTCATTATCGCCGCGGACACGATCATCCTTGAGCATACTGGGAAATAATGGTCAGCTGGGCGTCCTCGGCGGAATATGAATATATTGGTTCTCCTCTTGGGAACACACCGGTTGTCCATGCGGGCGTCGTCACCCTCCACTTGGAGAGATGCTTGTGGTGTCACGGCCTCGAGAACGAAATGGTTGTCACAGTGTGGGCAGTACTCGTCACTGAAAGGCAAAGAAAGAAAGAAGTCAGCTCTGGCTCTCAAATTCACCTGCCACGAACGCGGGGTATACAGACCTCTCTTCAAACTCGGCAGCGTCCTTACGGAAGCACTTCTTGCACTTCTTGCACGCGAAGATCTAAATTTTGTAATTGTCAGACTCCGAGGCTTTTTTTCCCTTCCTGCCCCTTTTCAATTTTGACGGGAATATTGGACCGCATACCATTTCAGCGGACTTTGTGAGTTGGTGCTTCTCTGTTTCTCCGTGGCATTCGGCGCAATCGAACCACTTGCGGCCTGAGGAATAGTGGGTTAATTGAGTCCTTGTAGATTTGGGTTCCAGAAAGGCATACAGCAGGCGGAGCGAATGGACACTTGGGCGTTGAGAATGTGTTTACTGTATGGCGGGGGGATAACATTAGTCTGGGATCTTGTGGGCTTGGCCATGCTGATGCAAACAGCGCTGGTAACATCAAGTGCTCAAATCAAGTGCTCAAAGAATAACATACCACATTGTTCTGGTGAGAGGGCTATGCAAGAAAGTGACGACGTGGAAACGTGAGCTGAACAGGGGAAGTTTGGAGTTGCGGAAGAAGCGCCGCGCAGGAACCAGTTGATCGCTTCCCGTGATCGTCGTCAGTCCTCCACTTTCCTCTCCCCCGCCACTTCATTTCACCTCCCTTTCGCATGTCCTTTTGACTACATTTTTGCTTCTTCGGCCTCTGTGCCTCCCTCGCCCTGTTAATTCTACTCCGTCCCCAGGGATTTTCCCCTTCTTCCCTGGCCTCCCCAGCCCTTCCAAGCCCATTACGTCGTTCCTACACTGTTGTCACTATTGTCCACGAGACCTCTCCAGGCACCGGGCTTATGACTGATCTGCCCAGCTGGCCTCGGTGATACAAAATATACAATTATGGCCATGGAGGGAAATGGCAGGGAATCGGACCACGATGATCCCCCCCTCTGTATGTATACACCTAGCTTATCCCGCTGTGGCTTGCGGAGACACTAACCTATCTGGCATCAACAGAGACCCGTATCCTCTCTGCTCTCCCATTTCGAGAACCTGTCACACCGCAAAACTCTGTCTTCAGTTGGCACAAAACCGCATGAATCATCTAGTCGTTTCTTGAGAACACCCGAGCCTGGTGATGAGCCGCGCTCTTCGACCCGCGCCTCCCTGGATCTACCTCGGCCACACTCTCCGTGGAATTCGACACTCGATGAAAGACAGAGTCGCCGCGCCGATCAATCTACAAGTCCATATGGTGCTCAGACAGGAGCTCGCGGATCTCCCGGTCGTCGTTATGGCCGGCCCATCTCGATGAGCTTGAACCGCTCGTCACCACAGCTGCCGCCCACTTTAACTGTCGATTCACCCCAATCGCCGCCGCGAGAGCTCAGGCGGGATCGTTCACTCCCCCGTCAAGATGATAATCGCATGGCTAGGAGCTCGATTCATCTTCCTAGGGCGTCCGTTTCCGCTGGAGTCTCTCCCGCACCTCCTCCTCCGAGGCCGATTACGCCGCAGCTTGGATCATCTGTTCCGCTAGGAGACACAGCCCAACGGCTATCGCCCAACTCTCTCACAGTGAATGGGAATGGTGGCCCAACTGATCGGAAGCTCAAGAGTGCTTCGCTGCCTCCTCCCGCTAACAGGGCATCGAAGCCAAAGATCCCAGCTAAACCGGCCCAGTTCTCCCACCCGGATACGAATACACTAGCTCCAAGATCCGAATTGGCCTCATCTGATGACCATGTTTCACCTTTCAACACTCCGCCCAGCAGCCCGGAAAAGCTCCCACCCAAGCCAATTTCGGCTAGCAAACCTTCCCCGAAGCTTCCTCCGGGACGCCCTACAACTGAGCCCCCAACTAGGCGATCCTTTGATGAGCGATCGCCTACACCAAGTTTCCAGGCAAAGCATGATGCGCGGGAGTTGGGCTTCTCCCGGACCCGTCCTGTTCCCGAGCCTTCTCGGTCTACTAAGCCCTTGATGGTGCAAATCCCACCTACGTCTTCTGTATACCCAGAAGCTTCCACCGCTCCGCCCCTTTCAACACAGAAGCTACGAGTAAGCGACAGTCCCCATGACCGTCCAGGTCTTCCTCCTCGACCAATCGGTTCCACCCCTCGACCGAATGTGCTTTCACCGGCTCGGGAACCCCCTCGGCAGGTAAACAATTCTAGCCCGATGACACCTATTGCTCGATCTGCTCCGTCTCATGCCCATTTGAACCAATCCCAGAAACCCTCGGCCCCTCCAAAGGCAACAATCCCTGCCTCGTGAATCCCATTTTTCATCTAGCTATCAGGAACGTCGCCCAGCACGCACGGACACCGAGGAGGAGGAATTGATCACAGAGGAACCTCCAATTTCACGTACCGACTACCCTGATGCTTCGATGGCTAACCGGAGGCCACCATTCCTTAAGACAGGCCCTAAGGAGATCCTCACTCGATACGACACTCGCTTGATGGACGTGTGCGGCAAATACGTATGCACAGCCGGCTATTTAACGCGCATATGGGATCTCACGACCGGCGAGCAGGTTATGAGCCTCTCGCACGGAGAAACCGTGAAGACCCATTCTCTAGCGTTCAAGCCTGGAGCAACACTCGAAGAAGAAGGCAAACGCATTTGGCTTGGAACATCCGCTGGTGATATTCATGAAGTTGACATTGCTTCCGAGTCCATTGTGGCTACGCGTGCTTATCCCTCTCGTCGGGAGGTCATTAAGATCCTGCGTCACAAGAAAGAGATGTGGACACTCGACGACGAAGGCCGTCTCTTGATTTGGCCTGCTGATGAGTCTGGCACACCTAATCTACAATACAGTTATCACGACCCCCACGAACGGGTGGCTCGTGGCCATACATTCTCCATGGTTGTGGACGACATGCTTTGGCTGGCAACTGGCAAGGATGTCCATATTTACCGACCGAACGCACGCGATGACGCCTCGTTTAAGCTCTTTAAGCGGCCATTGGGTCTTCAGCACTCTGGCGATGTGACATCTGGCACATATACTACAAAAGATGGTGGCCGCGTATATCTGGGACACGCAGATGGCAAAGTCACTATTTATTCTTCATCAGATTACTCATGTCTCGCTGTGGTCAATGTCAGCGTCTATAAGATCAACTGTCTTGCCATTGTTGGAGACTACTTGTGGGCAGGTTATAAAACGGGCATGATTTACGTTTACGATGTTAAGACCAATCCATGGACGGTGAAGAAGGATTGGCGCGCCCATGATAGCCCTGTGTCCGCGTTCGTGCTTGATACTAGTAGTGTCTGGACTCTCAACCGCCTGCAGGTGACATCCCTTGGCACAGATAATTGCATCCGTCTCTGGGATGGTATGCTGGAGGATGACTGGCTGGGTAAGTAATACTGTGGTAGACGCTCGATGAGATATACTCTTTTACTAACGCGCGGTAGATGCTCGCATGCAAACCAAGGATGTCGAATTCTGCAATTTCCGAGAAATTCGAACTGCCATAGTTACGTGGAATGCCGGCGCTTCAACACCAGGCAGTGTGCGGACTTCGGACTTCATTCGGGATGCTGTCCATCCAGAAGACCCCCCAGACATCGTTGTTTTTGGATTCCAAGAGTTGGTTGATCTGGAAAACAAAAAGATCACTGCTAGTATGTGTTCCTTAGCTAGAATTGTTGGTCATTTGCTAACCATTTCACAGAGAGCTTGCTCCTTGGAAGCAAGAAGAAGGAGAATGGAGAGAAAGAGCATATGAGCCGGCAGTACCGGGTGTGGATCGATCACCTCACCCGCACACTGCATGAGTGTATGCCTCTCGAGGAATCTTACGTTCTTCTGCACAGTTCCAACATGGTTGGACTGTTCACCTGCGTATTTGTCAAGCACAAAGAACGCCACAATATCAAAAACGTCAATGCCTCGGAGGTTAAGCGAGGAATGGGCGGGTTGCATGGAAACAAGGTTTGTGGTGGCTCCGTTGTCAAAATCGTGGATACAGTAAAAGCTAATCGTGGTTCTAGGGCGCTCTTGTCTTCCGCTTCGTCCTTGACGACAGCTCTATGTGTTTTGTCAACTGCCATTTAGCAGCGGGACAAACACAAACCGCTCACCGTAACAACGATATCGCTGCGATCCTTGAGGCGGAAACCCTGCCGTCAGAAAACAGCCTGAGTACCCGGACTAATCAATTCGCAAGCGGTGGTGATGGCTCAATGATCATGGACCATGAAGTTTGCTTCTTGAACGGTGATCTTAACTACCGTATTGATGCCATCCCTCGTAACGTGATCATCGACGCCGTCCGACAAAACAACCTTCCCAAACTCCTTGAGCGTGACCAGCTTCTGGCGTCTCGACGAAAGAATCCAGGCTTCCGACTCCGCAGCTTCATCGAAGCTCCGATCACCTTTGCGCCAACCTATAAATACGACGTTGGTAGTGATCAATACGATTCGAGCGAGAAGAAGCGTTCTCCCGCCTGGTGCGACCGCGTCTTGTATCGCGGCGTCGGCCGCGTCAAGCAACTCGAATACCGACGCCACGAGGTCCGTGCCTCCGATCACCGACCCGTCAGTGCCACCTTCAAGGTTCGCGTCAAAACGGTTCTGCCGCAGGAACGAGCTGCAACATGGGAGACCTGCCAACAGGAGTTCCAGGATGAGAAGCGGCGGTTGGCTTCTGAGGCTAGGTAAGTTCCTTACTTTCATGCACATTTCTGAGCTAGATTGTGTAAGATCGTATTTACTAACGACTGGATTTAGCATCGAATACCTCATCACCGTCCTCGGCACCGATCCCCGCCAAGCCCGTGCGCTAATCCTGAAGGGTCAATGAGCATATTGCATGGTTGGGCGTTGAACCTGCATTCTTTTCTTTTGCAGCGACGAGGTGTATATTATACGAGTAATGATTTCACGATAGACATGTATCATGAGCGAGAATATTCATTCCCAAGGACTGCTACTGTAGTATTGAGTGTAATGTAGTGCAGTGCCGATCTCCATCGCTTGCGTTATTAACCTCCGGGGTTTTCGGTGGAGTATACTCCGGTTCCCCAAGCTTTGGCTAGCGGACGTAGTAGAACATAGATACTCAGCTACGTGCGTGCATCTTTTACCTGGAACGGGGTTAATCGCATGGACTTCTAGGATCCTTTCTTGATTTGTTTACCTGGACCAGACGCGCGGACAACCATGGATGCCACCCTGTGGGCGCCACTGCAGTGATCGACATGGAGTTTTCCATTTCCCCTCATATAACTAGGGTATATTGAGTACTTATTTATCCGGTTCGAAATTTCATTCCCCGCACCTGGAACCTTTATAAATATCCAACCAGGGGGGTACTGTGAAGAAGCCTTTGTAGCGTGGAATTTCGGAGCAATTCAGCATGCTGGCACTAACTTTCTCTAGTCTGGCCTTGTTGCCATTGTCGAATGCACTTGTGAGAGAGGATGGCGTGGTAATTGTTCCGCTTTGACTGGATTTGCTTCGGGCTAGTATTCAATTGACTGGATGTATTAGGGACGGCTACCTGCTCTAGGGTGGAATTCCTGGAATGCTTTTGGCTGCGACGTTGATTCAGAGAAGATCATGACGGCGGCCAATGAGGTGGTCAACTTGGGCCTGAAGGATCTTGGATATGAATATGTTAACAGTCAGATTCCTCTCATTCGGAACTCCCTGTCTTTCAGTCTAAGTCTTGCTGACACTTTATAACTACTAGTCGACGACTGCTGGTCTATCAAGAACACCCGCAATGCCAGCACCCATCGCATCATCCCAGACCCATCGAAGTTCCCCGACGGTATCTCTGGGGTGGCTAGTCAGGTTCATGATCTCGGCTTGAAGATAGGCATATACAGCAGTGAGTCTCTCGATTAATCCTTTGAATCTTGGAACAATAATAAATATCCCACTCAGGTGCTGGTGAAACCACTTGTGCCGGCTACCCAGCCAGCTTGGGCTACGAGAAGGTAGATGCCGAAGCGTTTGCAGAATGGGGCATTGACTGTAAGTTCCCCTCAGACATGCTTTTTACTATACACTCTAACTGGGCAGACTTGAAATACGATAACTGCGGCGTTCCATCCAACTGGACTGACAAGTATACCGACTGTGTTCCTGATGGAAGTGGGAGCTTCCCCAATGGCACCTGCCCTGATCTTGATAATCCAGCACCAAAGGGTTACGATTGGACCTCCTCCAAAACCTTCACGCGTTATACTATGATGCGCGACGCTCTCCTCGGTGCGAACAGGACTATTTTCTACTCTTTGTGTGATTGGGGTCAGGCAGACGTCAACACCTGGGGCAATGAAACTGGCAATTCGTGGCGCATGTCAGGCGATATAACTGGTGGGTCTTACACACTCATTGTATCCTTCTGAACCTATGCTAATACAGCTGATAGCGGACTGGGCACGCATTTCTGAAATCGCCAATGAAAACACCTTCAAGATGAACTACGTCGGCTTTTGGGGTCATCCCGATCCAGATATGCTGGAAATTGGTAATGGAAATCTCACGGCGGCAGAGAATAGGGCACACTTTGCCCTTTGGGCAATCATGAAGTCCCCTTTGATCATCGGTACCGCCGTAAGTGTCACTTCTCAAGTTCCATTCATTGACCTTTCTTTCAAGTCACCAGATCCCCCATTCACTAACACTGTTTTCAGTTGAACAACATCAGTGACGCCAATCTGGCTGTCCTCAAAAATAAATATCTGCTGGATTTCCATCAGGATCCTGTCATCGGGCGTTCTGCCCATCCGTACAAGTGGGGATATAATCCCAACTGGACCTTCGATGCTGAACATCCTGCGGAATACTGGTCGGGTCCTTCATCTACTCTAGAAGGTACGCTGGTGCTGATGCTGAACTCCGAAAACGTCACCACCTCTCGTACAGCGGTATGGAATGAGATTCCGGAGCTAGATGGGGGCTCATATCAAGTCATTGATGCTTGGAGTGGGAAGGACTTGGGATGCGTAAAGGACCAGTATACTGCATCCTTGTCTAGCCACGATGTATCGGTCTTGATTGTCAAGGGAAATTGTTAGTCAGTTCTTTCAGTCTTCAAGTGACCAATCAGAAATATTCACTAGGATTATTTATGGTCGTCGGCTTTATACTAAATGAAATTCTTTGTGACGACTTTCTTTGATTGGTCTGCTTTTCCTGCCCAGGTGGGAAGTTGACTCACAATTCCCCCAACCCAGCTAACTTGGCATCTAAGCCAAGATATTTCTTTAGATATTCGAGCTCGGACTGGAACTAAAAGCTACTCTGATCCATTGTACCAGTGGCGACATCTGTAAGCCTCTCCCGTCTCGTGGCAAGACCAATGACAACGCTCTTTGTCTATTGTTTCATAATTCGCGCCAACGATTCGAAATGAGAGAAAATGAGGGATCCCACCCTTTGTTTCCTTTGATTTTGACTGAATATTTCGAGTCTTATTCCTTATCTAATTATGAAACGTCGAGTAGACCTATAAGGTCATGCGGTTTTCTTTTGTCCTTTGGCATTTTCTATATTTACCTCCCTCCTTAGAAAGCGACCAGAGCTGCCAGTTTAGTAAACAGTGGAAAATCGGGATTCTTCATTCTTCATTCGTTCCAAGTTGATGCGCACAATCGTGGTCTTTCAAACAATCCTGTGGAATAATGCCTGTGGTATGCGGCTGTGATCCAGAACGTACCCTGGATTTTGTTTATCTCGGCCCAGGAGAGGGGTTGGAGCACCAAACAGCGGTTTTATTAGCAAAAGAAAGGTACGTACAAGGTTTGCAACTAAATAAGTGGCACTGATAACTAACGATGATCGCATAGCTTTCTCCGTCAACGAAGACCGGACTTTCAAATTCGATGCAAATATGATCCGGGATACAATACATTCGTTCAGAGGTCTGATGTCATTCGCGAGTCGCTGGTTTTGAGACAAGCTATATCGCGCCAGGTGGGCTTTCAATTTTCCTTAATGCCTCAATTCCATTGCCGGGCGGGTGCATAGTATTTCGTGATAACATATTAATCACATTCATACACACAGGGTCGAAAGGCGATGAAAAATATTTCAGTCGATGAGCCAGTGCTCCCAGTACATTTATTATATCTCAGCCAGTTCCTCTATACGGGGGAGTACGCCGTGGAAGCAGGGGATGTGGAAGACTTTCCGATTGACCGGAAAAAGTACCCTAACGGGTGCTCGAGCTGCTTGAACCACCTTCGGTTGCTCAGCCTCCACCTGAGTATATTTCATGCCGCTCGGTACCTGGGGATGGAGATGCTGCAGCTCTTGGCATTGTACAAGTTTGGTGCTGCGGCTGAACATGCAACTTCCACCGTTATTCGGTACATTCTGCAAAATGTGTATACTATTGAGCCCCATACTCCAATGCATTTACATTTCGGAATGTATTCTTTAGTTGGGTGGGTTGACTATCGGCCAATGATCATTCTTCCTGTTGTTATGGACTATATCAGAAAACATAAACCGGCTATCGATTCATATTATGATGCTGTGATGAGAGATCAGAGAGGATATTGGATGGGGAAAGTAAGAGCGACATGGCCGGAAGCCGATGAATTTGCAGCGATGCGGAGTCAGATACCTGATTTTGATCTGCATATGGAGTGGGCGGAGATTGTGCTTGCCTTGGAAGACTATTTCCTCGGGACATGTCAGTGACCGAGCCAGCAGGGGATATGCTGGACAATTTAGAGCAATTCGTCTCTCAAAACTGGCAATTTCAATAGGAATCGCCTGTTGCAGTTTCAAATTCGTTCTACTTGTTATAAATATCGAGGATCATGTTTGCGATCTTCCTGCCGACCACCTGAGTATACTATTAGATCTTTAAAAATGAGAATTCCCTTCATCACAAACATAAAGAATGAGCGCTTCCATTTTTCTCTCTAACTTCATGTAGCCAAGTATATACGGAAACTTCAATAGTTTTTGCCCAGGCGATATAAACCAGGAACTTGGACTTGGCTGGCCAAGTTATCGGATGAACCTAATCTTGTTGTAGTTCGCTCTCGCTCTCGCTCCCGATCTGGCGCTCGCTTCGAAGGGTCGCTCTCGGTCTCGGTCTCGCTCCTCCCGCTCCCGCTTTCGCTTCACCTCTCATTCGCCCTTCGCTCGTGGTTCACTCTTCCTAAACCCATTCTGGACAAAGAATAATACCCCAACTTGGTAGCTTTGGCCAAAGCTCCTTCACATCGGCGAATAAACGTGGGGCCAGGGTCCAAGCTCTCCCATCTTCTCCGCATTTCTGGGCCCTTGTATTGCATTTTGCGTTGCCTAACCACATAGATGAACAGGCTAGCTCGCCCAATATGACGCAGAACTGTACTCATTCATCGGAGATAATTCAATGAACCTGCCTGATATGGTATGTCGCTCAGCGATCCTCGTTCTCGGTTATCCAACCATACCTACATCCATCTAGAGCAGAGGAATGGAATTGAATTATCCCCTTTCCGTGCTTGGCCGGCTGGACAACATTACAAATACTACTTCCTTTATTTTTTTTTCTATAAAGAGGTCCTCTCGCCTTTGATGAACTTGGATTCGTATCCTGGAATAGTCGCGCTACAACTCTTCATCTGATTCAAGCATAATCAATAATCTTTCTACGATGAAGTTTACCAGTATTGCTTTGGCCGGTGCCGCTGTTGGCCTTGCCCAAGCTAGCCCAGTCACTAAGCGTGCAATCAGCGATGGTAAGGCACTTGTATCTCCTCATTTGCAGTGTAAGATTGACTAATCTTCCAATTCAGCCGACATCCTCAACTACGCGTTGACTCTCGAGCACCTCGAGGCTGCTTTCTACGAGGAAGGTCTTAAGAACTACACCCAAGCCGACTTTGTCAACGCTGGACTCAAGGATCCCTTCTATGCCAACCTGCAGGAGGTTGGCAAGGACGAGCAGTCCCACGAGGCATTCCTCACTTCGGCCCTGAAGGGTATGTTCTACGAACTTGACGGCGATGGTCTGACCCTCTCTACATTTACTCACCAATATCTAGCTGCCGGTGCATCCCCCGTTGCACGATGCAATTACTCTTTCCCTGCTACAGATGCGAAGTCGTTTGCTAGCCTCGCTAGTGTGTTGGAGGGTAAGTTTATATTTCCCTTCTCTAGTGATACTTAAACTAAATGACCTTTTAGGTGTCGGTGTCAGCGCCTACCTAGGTGCCGCTGCCAGCATCATGAACGAGACATACCTCACTGCGGCCGGCAGCATCCTCACTGTTGAAGCCCGTCACAGTGCCTACTTGCGTGCTGCCCTTGGCGAGGCCCCCCTCCGCCCAGCCCTTCGACAATCCCCTCGATTTCAACGAAGTGTATACCCTTGCGGCCCCCTTCATCACCTCTTGCCCATCAAGCAATGGCAAGCTCCCCGTCAAGGCGTTCCCCACCCTCACCATGACCTCAACCAGTACCGCTATGACTGGATCTCAGGTTCAGCTCATGGCCGGCGCAGGCATGAACTCCTCTGACGCAAGTGGCCTCTTTGCTGCCTTTATCACCGTCACCGGTCCCGTCTGGGCCCCTGTCACATCCAGTGGAAGCGGCAAATATACCGTCACTATCCCCATGGGTATTGCAGGCCAGAGCTATGTTGTTCTTACCAAGGACAACAAGCAGGCCACGGACGACAACATCGTTGCCGGTCCCGCTATTATTGAGGTAATTTAGAAAAAGAAGATTATTTCGAGTCAATTTGATCCTATTTTGTGTCAATTTGCATGGCTGATGCTTTGTTTGGATAGGTTGGACAAAAGATGGGAGCTATGGGTAGTATGACAACACCTACTTCGTCCATGACTGGTCCTATGAGTAGCACTTCACCGTCGAAGTCGGCCTCTTCTACTCCCATGTTCAACGGGGCCAATGACAAGAAGGTCGGGTTGGCTGGTGTGACGGGCGCGGGTCTTTTAGCTGCGGTCGCCATGTTGGTTTAAACTGGACTGACTTGACTTGACTTGACTTGACCTATATTTGAGTCAGATTGATTCATGGTCGAAAGGAGGACGATCTTGGCCCACATTTACTATTCTCGCTTATTTATAATTCTTCATGATCTGCAGGGGTAAATGTTATTTTTTTCCTGTGCATAATTTTAATGATAGTGATGTGAATACTAGTACACAATTTACTACCCAGCATGGAAATAAACCTGTCATACTAGTATCCTGACAAACTTACAAGTGTAGAATAGACTTAAATACTACTATTCCATTCAACAATATTTCTAAATCGACTGTAAAGTCCTTTTCATCCAAGATGACTCTGAGACATCCCAATGTGACCTATAACCAGTCACATGACGGGCCTGACCTGTCAAATTCCATCATCTCAATCGACCTGCATTTCCACTAACTCCACGTCCAAGCTCACCTAAATACTCCCCTTCCCCAATGGCCACCGGCCACCATGCCGCTCCGGTCGCACACTAAATCTCGGAAGGGCTGTGACCAGTGCCGCACGCGCAAAGTCAAATGTGACGAGCGGGGCCCGCCCTGTTCGAACTGTACCGCGCGCGAGTTGAGCTGCACATACCTCAAAGTCGCAGCGGCGCGAGCTTCACATTCACAATCACAATCTCAGTCCGGAACTCCCGCCCCACTTCCCCACGTCAAGAGTGTTTCCAGGGAGAACAGTCGCACCCGTCTAAATGGGACCAGGAAAGAGGTCGTTGATTCTCCATTCCAGAAATCGGAACTGACTATCCTTGAGTTGATGCACAAATTCTCAACCGAGACGTTTCGAAGTCTCTGTGTTAGTGCCTCCGAGCTCGAGGTCTGGCAGACTACTGTGCCAAACCTCGCGCTCAAGCATGACTTTCTCATGAATGGCATCTTGTCACTTGCCGCTATGCATATTGCCTCGTCGCGGGAGCCGCCGGAGGCATTCGCATATCTTGATATTGGGCTTCAGCGGTATAATCGCAGTTTGAAACCGTTCCGCGATGCGATCGACTCACTTACGGAGCAGAATTGCGATGCTGTATTCGCGCACTCGATCATTATGACTGCTATTGGCATCGCCTCGCCTCGATTGACGGGGATCCGGGACGAAAGTTCCAGTATGACGGAGAGTATGGTGGTGGTTTTTGAATTGCTGCAGGGTGTCAAGAAGATCCTTCAGGTCGGTGTGGGCCAATCATGGATCAACCTGGAGTTATTCTCGCGGGGCGCATTTTGGAAGGATACCAGTACGCAATTGGATGAAGATACGCATGGTGCGCTGGCGCAAATAGACGCTTTAAACGACGAGGTCATGACGGGCATTTACGAGTCGCAGCACCAGATCAATCGGGAGATTATCGCGCATTTGCGGCATTGTTATGCCAAATTCGCGCTCGAGCCGGAACCCGCACCGGCATTAGCGTGGCTGGCGGCTGTGAGGAAAGAATTCGTGGATGGGCTCCGATGTCGCCAGCCCTTTTCTCTACTGATTCTTATGTACTGGGGAGTTTTACTGGGGGAGCTCGATGGACGGCGGTGGTGGGCCCGCGATGCGGGACGAGCTTTGGTATCGGAGCTGCTGGGGGCGTTGCGCCCGGGAGATCCTCGCTGGCAGCCCGCACTGACGTGGGCCCAGCAACGAATGTCGCTTTAGCTTGGGGGTCTGGCCTGGGGTCGGAATCGGGGTCCAGCATAAACGGGTGTTTCATGTGTGATAACTGACGGGTGTCTGTCTGGATGGTCGGATATTCCATGCATGAAGATTGCGAGAAGGCCTGGCATTCTCTGTATCTGTCTCACCTCGGAGGTCGATCAGTCCAAAGTGTTTTAGATGTATAGGGGGTAGTAGGGGATAGCCTCCGGATCCGGAGGAAATGGAGATGCCTACATACTACAACAAGGAGTAGGTACTGCGAGTATATATATTTAGACCGACACTTCCAGGGCCAACTAGTACTAGTAGTACTGTTACCCACGAGTCATTCTAGGCCAGAGTATTTACTGCATCCCAAACTCCGAGTCCTACTACGTAGTAGAATACTCCTTCGTAGCCTCACAATCTACAAACTACCCAAGGGTATGGGTAGCTACTAGTATCAGCGCCAATCTGCACCAACGTGCACCAACCTGCGGCCATCACGGCACCTCGTGGGGGATCCTATCATGCTGCTTGTTTGTGAAATCCATCTAGCCTAGTCTACTGGTCTACTCTACCTTGGTTATTGAGTGATCATCCACTGGTCCGCTCCACTCCATCGCAGTTGCACGTCTCCACTTTTGGCTACGTCAAGCTGGGGCTGCTTGCGGACTGTTCTAGGTCCAGCCTACTCCGGATTCCATCGAATCTCCTATTCTCTGTTTTCAATTTCACTTTCAATTCTAATCCTCTGAATCTCTCTTCCTTCATTCATTTTGACCTTTGATTTCTACATTCTCCAAGGTAAATCTTCGCCATAAAATGATATGATCGGCGATTGGCAACTATGATCTGGCCATCTCCGCATCACTCCGACGCCCATAGTCGATCGCGCAGCTTTCTTTACCTTAGTCTGACCGCGGTCTTCCTGCTGTTCACTTATCAACTCCTGCTCAATCGTGAACTTCTTGGTTCGGTTGCAGACTGGGCGAGTGATTCGGCATTCCCATCGCTGGGCTTCGATTCATCCAGCAACACTCCAGATGCGAGTGGAATTGAAATTGCAGATACAAATGAGAATGAGAATGACAAGTTAATCGCCATTCATGGTAGTCATTCTATCAATGACCCCTCCTCCCCATCTTCAACGCCGAGCAAGAGCATCAATCTCGGCATCCCGACTTCCACCCCGAGCACCAGCATCCATGTCGCTCCCACACAAACATCTGTCCCACCTCGAGAGAAGGAATTGGTGTTTGCTGCCATGCTAAAGAGTAATATGTCGTGGGTGACGGAAAATCTGCCCGAATGGCACTCCAATATTTATCGCGTCGATGCATCACCCGAACAAGCCGAATGGACTGTCCCGGCCAATCGGGGCAATGAAGCGATGGTATTCCTGACGTACGTGAAATGGCCTTTCTTTTCTTTTCTTCTTTTTTTCCAGAGATAAGTCCCCTAACACTCACCTAGATACATAATCGATCGCTACGACTCCCTCCCAGACGTCAGTATATACCTCCACAGCAGTCGCTACCAATGGCACAACGACAATCCACTCTACGACTCCGTCATATCAGTCCGCGACCTCCAACCCACCTTCGTCCGCAAAGCCGGTTATGTCAATCTCCGCTGTACATGGGCAATCGGATGTCCCGCCGAACTCGAACCGGCACGATACTACCGCGAACGGCCTGATGACCAGGACCACATTACCGCGGTCTTATTCCCGGATAGTTTTGCCCAGCTGTTTCCGGACCTCGAGATGCCCGAGCGCGTTGGCGTGCCGTGCTGTAGCCAATTTGCGCTATCGAGGGAGAAGATTCACGAGAGACCGCTAGAGGATTATATTTGGGTGAGGCAGTGGTTGTTGGATTCGCCGCTGGATGCGTCGATTACCGGGCGGATTTTTGAATATTCTTGGCATAGTAAGTTCAAGTTCAAGTCAACATTCCTATCCCTTGCATCCGAGTCACCATGGGATTGGACTTGGAATCTGCGAAATCTGCAGGAGGGATTCCTATTGGAAGTTTATTCGTGCTAACGGTGCCGCAGTTATGTTCGGTAAACCGACGGAGTTTTGTCTTGATCCTCGCCAGTGCTTCTGCAATACCTATGGATACTGCAATATGAGCGACGAGGATTTGCAACAGCAGTGGCAGTGGCGTGGTCAGACGCTTCCGGAGGGTTGGCCGGATGTGCCCGATGCACCGACACAGGCGAATCTAGCTGGAGAGGCAGAGACAGGGACAGAACAGTCTACGGAACATTCTCCGGAACAGTCACCAGATCAATCATCAGAGCATCCAGCAAACGAAGGGAAGCCCGATGAACCAAAGAAATCATCACGAAAACGAAGCCTTGCCCTGGCTGACGAAATGCCGGACATCAGCGACGCTTCACGGCAGGCCTTACGAGACGCAGCTGTATAATAGTGAATTCTATGGTTTTATATGGCCGGGCCCGCTGGATCGGGGCCGGGATAGTACTAGTTACTAGTGTGTAATCGCATTCGTTGGTAATTAAGTGTTTCAAGTTCTGCTAGGGTAACTTAATCCTACAATTATTCAGGGTACTGAGTATAGATGGGCATAATACCTAGTAGTATGATCTCTAATAACTACTGTATCTTGTATAGTACTGATAGCCTGGAGAAACACTGGGTTGATTACGGCTCTACTAGTTATTCTCTACGCGCCTTATGGAATGCCGTATGGCAATAAATGCTTTGAATTGCATTGATTCGTTATGTCATTATGCACATCTCTCGTGCCTAGGTACAGTTTCAGCCTTTCTGACATTCATCCGATCCCATTCGTCACATTCGTGGCCCAAATTGACAAAAAATAAAAGAAAATGAATGGCACGCTCCCTCCACTGCATTCTCTCATCGCCATATATCCACCTTGCTCGATCGCTTATATCCTCCACTACTCTTCGGACGCTCATCCTCATCCGCCGGCACAGCCAGGAACCCGCCAAAGCCATTACCTACCAGCACGCTCTTGCGCGACTCGCCGCCCCAGGAGCGGTTCAGCTGTGCTTCGTGGAAACTGACCGGACGGGTATTTGCGCCGCCTCGTCCAGGTAGGACGCCGGGGTCGTACGGAGTGAAGTTCCACTCCAATTCGTCGAGACCTTTACTATATACATTCAGGGGTTGTGTCAGTCCTCGGTTTCTCGGCTGCGGTCCGTTCCCGCCGCCTCCACCGAAGATCCTGGGTGGTGGGGCTAGCAGAAGTGTGTCGGGGAAATTGGCATCCCGCACGTAGAGATCGCGTAGAGCCGGAAGAGAGCGAGACATAAGGGATGATATGAGGTAAGTGTAATACGAGGTTGCGACTGGGGGTAGTCCGTGTGTCTCGGTTTCAGAGGTGATCTCGTAGTGAAGTAGACGCAGGGACTTGGAAGTCAATTGGGGGATCTGCTCTGCCGGGAAGGACCGGTGGACTTCCTGGATGATGGAGAGACTTGTGAGTCTTGGAGCGGTGGAGAGAATCTGATGAATTGTGGAGGGAAGGACGCCGGTGGAAGCGATAGTCAGAGACTGCAACGTATTCTGGGTGTGGGGGGGGAAGAAAGGAACGAAGTAAGGCCGGCAGCCGTGACGTTCGGGGTATCTCGAATAGTTAAATGCAAGAGCGGGGGAATAGGTGGGTGAGGAGGTCTCATGACGAATGCCGTATCATCAAGCCAAGGGAGGTCGTCCAGAGTCAGGTCCCGCAGACGTGAGAACGAGGCCAACCCATTGCGTAGGATGCCGGCTTCGATCTGTAGGCCGGATAACTCCAGTTTCTCCAGGTTGGTCCAGAGTTGTGCGCCTGGTAGTCGGGCGAAGCTCCCCTCCGATCCATGTCGATAGCTAGTACGACGGAGATCAGGACACTGGACGATCAATTCCTGCTTCAACGCGGTACACGAAGGTTCATCGCTGAACAGGCCGGACGGCAGATCGACGAAGCGAATGTTGTGGAGCACGGAGATCGTCCGGGCGATGTTCGCCTTGTTGGCTTCTCGGGTCATGTATGGCATCCGGAGGGACAGGACCATATTGGCCAGTTTCTGGTCTTCTCGGACGGTGCGCATGAAGAGTTCCAGGCGGACCTGAGGGGCATCGATAGGGTCGCCATTGCGATCAAAGAAAGAGCGACGCTTTCGCCTGGCGGCGAGTTGAACTTCGAGTTCACAGTAGTGGACAGGATCGATACGGACATGGGTATAACTATTGAAAGGAGACAAGTAACGTTGGTCAGCCTGAGGAGAATGGTACCAATTATGTTTGTGGTTTTGGCTGTGTTTTGGGTACCTACAGCAGCGCGCGGGCCTCGATGAACCACCGCTTACAGACCTGAGCACAATGCGCAAGATCACGCATGTCACAGAGCATGCAGCCATCGCTCATAGACTCCTCGGAGGTATCGTAGGACTCATCGAGGGTGTGTGGACAAGTAAGGGCAAAGATGTAGGCCAGCACTGGTCGGGGTAGCTTGCGCGTATAATCGCGGCCGGTGGTTCTCAACGGGCGGGGCGAGTTGGCGGGCGATGCCTCGGTCGCGTGCCCCGCACTGCGCCGGGGACGAGCTCGAAGCTTGTCAAAAAAGGCCCATCCTGGGGATGGGGAGGGGAGAGAGGGGAGGAGAGGAGAATAGGAGAGGAAGAGGAATGGAAAGAGGGTGAAGTGGTATAATGGAGAAGAAATGTGGAGGAGGAAGAGGAGCCGCAGGGGATCAAAAGATGAAACGCCCACGCCGCCCGTTCATCAAAGTCGAGGGTCAGTGTTTCATTGGTGCTGATCCATGTCGTATCCTCCTTTTGGCGCGGAGATTCGTCCAATTGCACCCCATGATACAGGTATGACAGGTTCAGGCTGATTCGGCTGTCTTTGTCAGGGTCAGCTCAGGGTCTCAGGGTCTCAGGGCTTGGGCCTACTGCACTCTTGATATGCAGGGCAGAGCAGAGCTGGTCCTCTCCATATACTAGTATCTCCACTGGCATGGGATGAAGCCATCACCATAATGACATCACTCGACATTGAAGTGCACATGCAATGGAGGACAGTGCATTTGCATTTGCATTTTCATTTGCATTAGGAGGGAGGAGAAGGAGAAAAGGAAATATGTACATCATTGAAGTTGTGCTTGTGGTTGTTCCAAGGAAACCACCTGAGCAAGACCTGACATCATCTGAAAATTATAATCCAAAATTTGTATAAAACTTGGAAATTTGCATGCAAAACGTCAAGAGACTAACATCCATCTTATTATTTTATTCTTCTCTTATTTATTATTACCTCTCCAACTTGAATCCACTGCCACCGTTACAATGGCCGAAATGGGCTTCCTAGAGCCCGAGGCACCTCTGCCCACCCCTGCTGTCACCAACAATCCCCCTGAAAATACCCTTGAGAAGGAATCTTGGAAGCATCGTCCACCCTACAACCGACAGAGTCATGAAGAGGAAGGTCCGGTCAAGCTGCGTGCCTTTTGCCAGTGTCGGAAGATCTCATATATCTTAAGACAAGAGAAGCCACTCGACGCCAAATTCTGTCACTGTCGTGGATGCCAGGTCATGCATGGCGCTCCTTTCCAATGGGCCGCTATCTTTCACAAAAAGGACATCTCTTTCAATACTGGCTCCTGTGGTTTAAATTTCTATTCTTCCTCCAAGAATAGTCAAGACTATCACACTCCGACCAAGGTCTCGTGTGCCTTCTGCCATACTTTGATCATGGATGAAGGCCGCAATGTCTGTCTGCTCTTTCCACAGTTAATTGAGTTTGAGGGCTCGGTTGAACAGCAGAAAAAACAGCGAGAACTCTTCAAACCTACGTACGTTCCTGCTAGAGCTCTTGATTTGGTGCATAAAGATGTTTTGCTGACAGTTGTCCCTACTCCAGGTGTCACATCTTTTATGAACAACGTATCATGGATATTACGGATGGGATTACAAAATGGTCCGCTATGAATGACCAAAGTGACCGATTGGATGACTCAGGTCGTCGAATTTAACTCTGATTTAGTAATATAAACAGGTGCGCAGTGATGCGTTCGCCATTCAATGGTTCGGAACGGGCAGGCAAGGAGGGCAACTTTGAGGGGCGCTCCTATTTGATATTCATGCAAAACTGTATATAATAGTACTATGAATGAGGTATCTATCAAACTCCATGTTTATGAGTGCTGGATTCCCCGGGTGGACGGTACTGGTGCTGTTTTATAATTGGTCAAACTCGACGAATCCGAAGAAGTGCGGTTAAAGTCTTGCGTCCGCGCTACTTTCTCTCGGTCAACTAACTATAATCAGCTTTTCTGTAGACCTTTTCCATCTATAATCAATATCATCCGTACCAACTCGTATTAAAGCCTCTTACTGACCAGACTTGCGCTTCTGAAGTAGCTCCGGTGGGGCAAATTAAGCATATAGGCATGCCTGTATAACAATACATCGCTCATAATGACGCAAGTAATTTGTTTCTATGTATTCATTGTATCTTTATCCTTATTGGTATCCACAAAAATTAGAAATATTTTGAAGCACTTGACACATGAGACCATGTATGGCTTTCCAGCGACGACACCACAATTCCATTTTCATGGGGAAGATCAATGCTCTCAGATTTTAGACGAGGAGTTCCAGAGATATGAAAGCACTGGCGAAGCAACGCTATGTGAACGGATAGCGGGAAATTATCGTTTTGTGTCCCCAACGCTTGAGAGTGTCAATTGGGTGCATGGCTCAAACTCGGGCGTTATGTAGTCGCTTACTAGTTTGATGTAAATATCGACCCGCCCCTCCTTCGCGTCCCCCACTTCTTTTCACCCTCACAACTGCCACCACGCCATTCAAACACTGGCATGTCCCTGAAAAGATCACACAGCCAGTGGCCTGAAGGTATCCCCCCGTTTATTCGTCAACACGAAGAACCAGTCAATTGGGATGATATCGGTGCCGCCACTCGTGCATGGAGGTATTTTGTTCGTGAGCGGTGGGTCGGCGGCGACACCGCAGATCAACAGAAACGAGACCTGATCGAACAATGGGCAACAGCAGACCAAGAATTCCGGGATGTATGACTTGATTAAACAAAGACCTTTCTTGGGTTTCTATAGACTATTGACCCCGCAATAGAGCTATCAATCTCGAGCACCAGAGGACGAGCCTAGCTTTTTCGAAGGCGCCGAACTTAGAGTACAAAATATCTCCTGCTTTTCCGATTCCGATTCTAATCCGAAAAAAGGACAAGTCTTTCATTGAAAGTGACGTTGACGGTTTCTGCATGGTCTATATTTGTATCACCGAATTGAACGAAGAGAAACAAGCCCTACTGGCTAAGTGTATCATGGGGTTATTCCCATGGGAGGGTGGGTGGGAATTTCTAGCATCCGAAATTGTGATGTTTTTGCCCTTGGAAGGTAATCAAGGCGATATTCTCGACACCTTCAAGCTCCAGCAAAGCGTCGCCCGGCCCGATTTTCTCGATATGCATATGGCGCTTGATGGAAGTGTGATATTCAGGGATTGTTATGCCAAGCTGATTATTGATGACCGAACCTTGGAGACCGGACTGGGGCTTTGGGTTGAGTTCGACCCGAACGGCATCTATGAAACGGCCTTCCGGGCTCAGATTATGTCGCCGGATATGGCCGACTGTTATTGGGAAATTGGTCCCGGTAATCAGACTGGGATAGAGTTCGCGTTGGAGTATATTAGGTCAGGATATAGTGATCTTGATGAGGATAGGGATCCGAAGATTATCTTAGAGGATGAGTCGTGAGTCTCCTCTCTCCGGGTTATGGGTTTCTATATACTAACCGGTGCTTAGGGTCGATATGCGGAAGCCACTTGTGGAAATCTACCGGGGTGAAGAAGTTGACCTAGCAGATGAGCATGCTCCTGGCTTTCGTGAGGCAGAGGAGGAGGGCAATGGCCTAGCGATCGGATTTGATTTGCGTCGGATACTTGCGAACGATGGAGGTCCCCTGATAATCACAGATCGTGAAAGATCTTAACCGAGTGGTCTGACGAAGGATGAAGGATCGACCATTAAATTGTCCAATATAGATCAGACGGGGCGGAACGTTTACACAAAGTCTACTGGGATTGGCCTGTCCCTGGATCGTGACGATCCTCCCGGGCTGAGATAAGATTCATCTGAGACCATTGAGGACCTGTGGACTTGTGGCTATTCCATGCAGGGAAAGTGCTGTTTTTGTTCTACGCTTGAATCTTGGGCTAGTTAACCCCACCTCCGATGCTAATGCGGCCCTAACGGAGGATGTCATCCTCCCGATGTGACCTTTAGCAGCTCATCTCCTTATTAGGAAATACGTCAATCACCCAGTCTCCTCCACGAGGATACTCGGAGTGGGAAATGCCGTGGCTTTCGTTTCACATCCGGCATTCTTAAATGGAGTATAATCCCCAAGGGCTCCTTTTCGATGTAGCACCCCAGGCCATATAGTCCATAGTCATTCACCACCCTCCGCTCCGCTCGCCCCACCATGTGGCTCAAGTCGTGGGCATATCTCGCCCTCCTGGCCGGACCAGTGGCTGCAGTGTCACAAATCAGCGACGATGAGATGAACTCACTCCTCGATGCTGGCGGCGTAGATCTCGCTGATCGCTACGCGCCCATCTGGTTCTTCGGTCAGGCCCAGAACCAGCCACCCTGCTATCCCACCTGGGCTTTCGGCGGATCCCCCGACACAGCTGATGTCTACGATGATGACCACAAAACCCCTGCAGCGGCACAGTGCGGTATCCCAATGTCGGCTGTAACTGTCGCAACCCGGGGGTGGATATTGGGAACCCCGGTCCGGCATTCCCTGTTTATTATACCTATCAGCGATGCAATGATACCGAGATCCGGGTTGTCTACAATCTCTTCTACGAGAAGGATGGTGCGAAGTTTGGGTCTATCGAAACGGGGCATGACTAGTAAGATATCCTCATAGGCATGCATGACTTTCCCTCTAACGCGATCACTGGAAGTGACTGGGAACGAGTGGTGATCATCCACTCCCGCGACGACAGCAACAACTGGGCGCCTTCGCGTGCCCTCCTCTCCGCACATAGCGGATATAATAATCTAGCCTGGGGCGATATCCAGAATACCCTCACGACGGACGAAATCAATGCCGGCGATGCCAAAGACCCCAATGGCGTGCAGAATAATGATCACCCTAAGGTGTATGTTGCGTGGTCAAAACACCCCAACTTTGATACACGCAACACGGGTTGGAATGATCCGGCTAGTCAGTCGCTGGACAATGCTTTCCGCAGTGATGACTGGTGGTATTATGTTGACCCGCAGTATTATATTCGTTCCGATGATAGCACGGATGCAGGGAAGGCTCTTGGGGCGGCGGATTGGGGACACGCCTCGAGTAATCCACCTAGTGTACAGGCGGGGGTGTGTGGTGCATCGTAAGAGATAGCAGAGTGGCTCATTAGTTAGTTACTCTGGATGGTGTACATTGTATGGGATGAATGGTTGTGACTATTGAAGCATATAGCTATCATTAACTTTGGAATACTCGTAGACTTTTATACAGATACCCATTGAGGGGCAGATCCATGATAAATCTACAATTTATTTCGAGTATTTCGAGAGTATGCTGAGCTGCAAAGAAAGAACTACTAGCAATAAGCCCTAGTAAATGCAGATGCAAACTCGAATCCATTGTTTACTATGTACTGTATACAACTTCACATCCCAATGACATCACATCCCCCACCCAATCAAACCCGTCTTATTCGAACTTCGACTTGAATTCCCCCGCCCTCCCACTTCCACACTTCACATCAACTCCCACACCACATCATGTCCTGGACTCAGAAGAACTTCACCCTACCCTCGCGTAGCCGTGGCTCCTACCTCATAACCGACCATGTCCTCTCCGAAGTCCCCGAGATCCGCGACTACAAGGTCGGCATCTTGAACCTATTCGTGCAGCACACCAGCTGTGCGCTCTCACTAAACGAGAACTGGGACGATGATGTACGCGCCGATATGAGTGATGCTCTCGATCGCATCGCGCCGATGGATCGGAAGGGAAACCTTTATCGCCATTCTGCTGAGGGAGAGGATGATATGCCGGTGAGTTGAGCTTTATCCCAAAAAAAGCTCGGAAAAGCTTCTTGCTAATCGCATTATACCACCGACAGGCTCATATCAAGTCTGCTCTCATTGGTGCCTCTGTGAGCATCCCCATTACCAATGGTCGTCTGGCTACCGGTACCTGGCAGGGAATTTGGTACCTTGAGTTCCGTACTAGCCGGCACTCGCGAAAGGTTGTTGCGACCATTCAGGGTGAGAAGGCTTGACTGGATGATGCGCGTGAGGATGGTTTACGGGGTAATTTATGATTGGATTCAAGGTGTATACTGAGGTAGAATAAGCGATTGGCGAAGATGTACAAGGAAGAGGTTGCAAGTGCGACTTTGGAAAAATGCGCCCAATGGTTGTAGATAGGGGATTCGAGTCGCAAAAAAGGGTATAAAACGGCCATTACGAACTACACCAAAAGGAATATTGAACATGTTCGCCACGACTAGATTATCGCAAGGCGGAGGGCAGATCCATTGATCGATATTTCTGTACATGGCCTCGGGCCCAAAAACCAATAAGTGGAACATAACGTGGAAAAGATAAACGCCGACAAAAGGAATCTTATGCTAGTCGTCTATCGCTGCTCCAGGCTTCCGTCCGTAACGCGCTGGCTCTCGTTAACCTCGGCGGGGTCGTTGGTGGGCTCGAGGGGGAAGCTGGTGGCAGGGAGAGACTTGAGGTAAGCACGGTGATGCTCGTGGGCCTGAAATTCGGTTTGTTAGCAAAGTGAAAGGGAAGGAAAGGAGAAGGACGATGTAAGGCGCGATGGGAAATTATGGCACCGAGGGGACGTACAAAAGGAACACCGCAGTAGCCGCAGGTCGCAATCTCGGGCTTGTCGGTGTTGATGAAGATCTGGGGGTGGCCGAGGGGACCACCGCCACCGTCACAGCTGACGACGCGCTTCTTTGTCCAGCGAACGGGTTGCTTGTGAATGAGCTCAATGGCGGCCATAGGTTGGGGCTATATAAGAGCATTAGTACTAGGTTTTAGCTTCTCCGATGCCACCCCGGATAAAGCAATTGGGTTTCAATTGAGCTCGGGAAAGGCAGGAATTGAAGGCCTAGTGCAGTACTCACCTGAGTCTGCATGATAGTCTGCTCGAAACGAGGTCCGACCATGGCCTCCTCGCGCGGTTGCTGGCTGGCGGCCCAGGTGCTGGAACGGTTCGGGGCCTGCATGGTGCGAATGCGCTCGGCAACGACGGGGTCCTCGGACAGGGATCCATCCCAGGCGCTCATAGTATCGGTGGGGACATTGCTGGTAGAAGCACTGGGCTTGACGACGGGGGGGGTTGGGGTCGTTGGCGGCCATGCGGTTCTCGGACAGACGAGGGACGGTCGAGGTGTAGGTGCGGGCAGCAAAGCGCGGGCGGATCGAGGCCAGGGCCGTGAGGCGGCGACTGCAGGACATCATGCTGGGCAGATTGAGTCCCAAGAAGGGGTGGTGGAGGTGGTGAATTGGGAGAGATTGGCGAAGGAGGTCGAGGTGGCACTGGACTTTGATGGTCATCAAGATTGCGGGAGTTGGATTGGCGGTTGCTGGATTGACCGCCCGCCCACTGCTTGGGTTTTTCTGCCCGGTCAATTTCACTGCTTCAAAAACCGGTCGACCTTTTTGACTTGCTTCCCTTTGCTTCAGTACGACAGAATCGCCATCATGTCTGCTTCACCGGGTGCTGCGGCTAAAAATGGGAAGACCATGTCTTCGCGACTTCTCACCATGAAGGTTTGTTAAAAGATTCAGCTATATCATGCGCAAAATCTGACATCATTCTATAGTTCATGCAACGCGCTGCAGCAACAGCAGCTGCGAACGAACCCCAAACGCCAGGATCAGATGATAATTCCCATACTCCCAAGCGCCAACGACTATCGACTGAGCCTTCCAGCCCCGGAACCCCGCAGGCCGAACTTGATGCTATCGCAGCCGCATTGAAAGCAGAAGAGAAGAAGCGACGAGATGCCGTTATGCGCCAGGCCGCCGAGGCAGGCGAGTCAGAATGGGTATTGGATATCCCAGCTGCCAATGCATCCCCCACACAACCGTATGCGGTGGCAGCCGACTCGCTGGATGTAGAGGACGATGCCAATGTGGGCGGCCGGCGTGGGTTTGGCGGTTTCAAGCGCAAAAAGGCACCGGTATGTCTCAGTGTCATGGCTTTCACCCACCTTTCTAATCTAACTTCTAATGCTTTTTAGGCCTATGTTCCAAAGTCAAACGACGAAGATGCCGAATCTGATGAGGACGAAGACGACGACGAGCTCATGAACCCTGCCACTCCCGAGCAGGTCGCGGCCCATCGCGAGAAGCAAAAAGCTAAGGCATTGGCTAAACTGCAGCGACAGAGAGAGAGGGAGCGCCAGAATAAGCCTGTGAATCTCAAAAACCTTACGAGTATCTCCGGCTCGGGTGGCGGCGGCTCTTACCGCAGAGAGTCGGGCGGGCCCTCGAAGAAGAATAAAAAGAAGCGCAAGAGCTCCTAGACATTGTATGATCGCAGATATCCTGGGATGATTGGCATGGCGTTAAATCGAGCATGGGTTACGGCGTTTGGTCTCTTAGCACATAGTACAACAGACTACAGCTTTTTCGGCTGGTCAAAGATTTTGTGGTCTTGAATGATACATATTTTGAGGAGAAAGCAAATAAGCACAGCAGAGAAAAAAACACCCTTGGAATAGCATTATTTATGGTGACTGCACCCAGTGCCTCTAACAATGTACAATTTGAAGTGAAATACTAGTAGTAGATATCGTATCAATTCCAGGCCCAGGCCTACCTAGCCTTGCGGTCAAACTGGGACTATCCCATCTTATAAACGAGCCTTCTCTTCCCTCTTTTTCTTCTCCCAATCCTTCTGTGTCGCATAAATTTACAATCAGATTCCACGCGGCAATACCAAAGCCCACCGGCGGGGCAGCTAGTAAAGCCCACGCCCACCACCTTGGGCTCGACGCCGAAATACTCACCATCGCGCCCTTGATCGCACGCTCCAGCTCGGCTTTATCAGCATCATTCCAAACCACCACGCCCCGCGCTGCTGCTGTACCACGGAACTCGGCTTGCGCAGCCTTCGTGCGTACATCTCCCTGGCTACGGACACGGTTCTCTGCGTCTTCGGCGGTGAGGTGGGCGTCTCGTGCACGAAGGCGCGCCATTTGGATGGCTGGGTCGGTGACACCGACCACAAGGACAGTTCCGCAGATAAGGTCCATGCCGCTTTCGAAGAGGAGAGGTACGTCTAAGACGACAGCCCATTGACCGCGCAGGTAGTGGTATATCAGTGCTTTGTAGACTTCCCACCGGACGGCGGGTGGATGATGCCATTTAAGACTTGGCGATCGCGTTTGCGCTCATCTGTGTCGCCGAAGACGCGACGGCCGAGAGCAGGTCTGTTGAGAGGTTTTCCCTGGGGGGAGGGGTATCTTGTGCGTCATCGAGGAGGAGGTCGGGTGTGCTGGGACCGAAGTAGTTCACGATTGCCTTGTAGCCTGCTGTGCCTGGTTCGACGACCTTGCGGGCGAGGATATCTGCGTCGATGATGGGGAGAGAGTAGGATGTGGAGAGGATTGAGGAGACGGTGGATTTCCCCGTGGCTATTGAGCCGGTCAGACCGATGATGAGCATGGTGGGCAACCTTGGGAAGTAAAGAGAAGAGCAGAAGTGAAGTGAAGGAGTGGAGGAGTGAAGTGTAGTCAATGCGGGGAGATTGTCACTTCCGTGGTTTACCTCGGCCGACGCCCCACCCATACTAACTACTCTAGACTGGAGTATACTAGTTATTCTTCACTACATGAGGATAAGTATATGTGTGCAAAAGTTATATTTTGCATGAACCAAATTCAGTCATTGCACTTCCTACATACTGGTAACTCCTTCATCCCTTCTCCATATCTTCAATGGCATCTGGGCTGGCCAAAGATTGAATGCCTCTTCCCATTCCAGTTTCCAATCCCTCGACGGCAGTGCAAATTCATAGCGATGAACGAGAGTAGCAACAACAATCTGCTGCTCAATAAATGTGATGTTTCGTCCAATGCAAGCCCGAGCACCGGTAGTAAAGGGGATGAAAACTGCTCGCATTTGCTTAACATTTTCGTCATCCTCAAGCCACCTCTCGGGTCGGAATGCTTCTGGGTCCGGGAAGATATCTGGGTTTCGATGAGCCGCATATGTTGGAACGCTAACTGTGACATTTCCAGGGATATTCTCTCCCAAAATACGCATGCCTTCGGGTGGTGTCTTGCGTTCTAGTCCTCTTGAAACTGGTGGAGACAACCGCAGTGACTCGTCTAGACAAGCTTTCAGGTAAGGGAGACTCTTGACTTCAGCATACGGTGCAACGCCATTTTTAAATTGAACGCTGGCCACCTCCTCTCTGAGCTTTCCCAATGACTGCGGACTCTTGATGAGGTAATACATGACATTTGATAACGCAATTGAAGTCGTATCGGATCCAGCATCCACTATGGGAAGATGTTAGTGTGTACAGGAAGAGTATTACGCTGATAGGACTTACACAGAATGCTGGTCTCAGCATTTATTTCTCCGCGGTCCAGATTTCGGGCGTTACCCTTCTTATCCTTGATCAAACACGTAAGAAAATCATCCGAACCATCACTGTTCTGAAGTTGTAACCTTTCGCCGGCCAGAGTACTGACAATCCTGCCGAATTTCTGTGCGTGTTCCAATTGTGATTTTAGGTAAGGGGAAATTGTAGTCGAAATGGCACGCAGAGTGTGGAACCATTCCGTCGCTCCAATGATGCGAGAGGAAAATCGGTTACCGCGATGAAGGCTTTCAAGGCATCTGACAGGCTGGGAAGTACCCTCGATGGAAACTTCATCCGAGCCCGAATCCAGTAGTCCAAGCTTCTTGCTCAAGGCAATGTCGGCTATGGCATCAACGGTGAAGAGATTGGACCAGAATCTGAAATTAACAGACAAGTCGTCAGAGATCACCTTATCAGAAGGCAATGGTAAGGTACACCGCTGGTCGAATTGTATAACGAGTCTTTCAACTTTGTCGATGATCTTGAACTCCCACTGCTCGAGGTTACGGACCGCGAAGGCATTCGATAACATCCGGCGCTTGCGAGCATGGTCGTCACGGTCAACAACATTGAGCATGTGGGAGTGAGATCCCGCTGTCATTGCATATATATCATCCTTGCGACAAGGCGTTCCATGACCATATATGTCTTTGATAGCTCTAACGTCCACGAAAGAGAGTGTATTGGGCCCCATGCGAATGATGGCATGCTTTTTATGAAGCTCATACAATCTTCTTGTACGAAAGCTTCGTCTATGCTCCCAAACATAAGCCAGACTCGTGATTCCAGAGAGAAAATTCAACTTGGGATACTTTCGGAAACCTTTTGCATCGTAAAAATATATGGCAATGGGCCTCGCGATCCAAAGAATGAGGGCGATTAAAACTAGCAGAATTGCCATGGCGTTGGGACCTTTCAGCAATGACTTGCTCAATAGAGATGAATAGTATATCCTTCAAGAAATTAGAGTACCCATGGTTTAGTATTTATATTACTTCATTCACATCTCCGCAGAATAATTTGTCGTCCACGGGTTGACTTCAATAGCCTAAGATCTCCAAGGCCTCCACTGGGATACGCAGATTCTATAGATGGTCGGCATCGGAAACGAGCGCCATTGTGGACTGGTCGGGTACCCTTCCGATTTTGGAAAAAAGCTCAGGGTATCTACGTCTGCGTTCGTGTCGAGTGTGTGGCTATCTATCAACTCCCCTCGGTTGCTGTTTGCCGAGGTGATCAACAGAAATGCGTGATTCTATTCATGACCCTCGAAAATACCTTCATGCCCCCACGTAAAAGCATCTTTCTCCGATGTTTCAAGCCAATCATAGTGCCCATCAATTATCCGCCTCCAAGAAATTGTGGGGGTTGCCCTTGCTGGCGGGTGATATTTCCTTGTTGGGAATGGTATCCAGTATTGGAAGCGGAGACAATTTCTCTCCTCCGCAATTCTCCCCGCTCAACGTCCCCGAACCCAAGCCTCCATTCTATTCGACTCGGAATACGTCTGATTTCATTCTGCACATCAGAGATCGGATCTTCTGTGGTAATGCCCAAGTCGAAACGAGGCAATTTTGATTCTGATAGTGCCGGCAAACGCAACTTGAGGTTTCCAAACCCATGTCGTGCGTGGTACGTCAGAAGTTCAGAACAAATAGAACTCCCCAATCATTGATGGCATAACTAATTCCTCTCTAGCCATAGATGCCGTGCACTCCACAAAAAATGCAAGTCCTTGCCCATTGCTTTCTTTTTTCTTTTCTTACCGCTGACAGAAGACAGGTAACATTCGTTCGAAAGGCAAGACATGCTCAAATTGTGAGAAAGCCGGGTCCTCATGCGAAGGCGGAGGCAACAGTGAACTTCAGATCCGCTTTAGCGAGTTGAGCCATCAACCGCAGAGAGTAGGAAATACGATTCATTTGTCTGTCGCTCAGAACAATCTGCCTGATCCAAGACCCCCAATTATTTTTCAGGAAGAGGAGCGTGTTATTGGCCAAAGTTCTACTTCTCCGGTCGATACAGCCATCCCAAATTCAGGAGAAAGCACTGATGACACTCATATCTCAATACCTTTCACACAACCTTATCACCATGGTTTTGGTACATTAGAAACTGAAACCTGGCTTCCTGGAACAGCCTCTCCTGGATCAAGACCGCTTCAACCAAATTCTTTTCCAAATCGCAGATATTCTGGCATTTCCTCGCAGCAATCACCTTCCGAATCGGAGTATACATTTCATGAAGGAGATGGCGCCACTACGCGCCTATCAGAATATGGCCATTCTGAAGAAGAACGTCCCTATGCACATGCGCACCCTTTATCACTTACCGATGATGAGTGTAAGCTCGTGAAGCACTTCTTCACTGTTTTGATGCCCTGGGTAGGAAAAATTTCCCCTTCATCTCTGAGGATTCATTGAATCTAATAATACCAGTTCGACTATAGTTGCTCGCAACCGCATTTTCGATCCTACCTTCGGTTCGCAATTACGAAAGACCCTGGTGTCTTATATGCAATGTTGGCTGTTTCTGGCAAGCATCTCGAGGCAACAAAGTCAAAGATTTGCAAATCGGATGAATACGAACGGAAGTCTCTGGGTATACTGATTCCGATGCTCAGCGAAAACGATGCCACACAGTCACAGGGTGACGCAGTGCTTATATCTGCTCTGCTCTTGCGACTACTGGATGAAATGACAGGTGGGTATACTCCTTCTTCTTTTGGTGAATAGCACTAAGTTCTAACCCTGATCAAATTGAAAGATCCTACCGATTCTCAATCCATAATCAGACATACTGTGTCAGCACCTCTATTTTTACGAATACGACAGCATGACCCAAAGCCTTCAGAGCTGAGCAACGCAGCTATGACCATCGTTCTTAGGCAAGAGATTCAAGTTGCAAATATGATTAAGCGACCCGTGGAGGTAATGGGAATTGAATGTGGCATTGACGACTCGCTTGGACCTGCATCAGACGTAATGTGGACATGCCGGATGATGTCCCATGCTGCGCGAGTCACCAATTATGCATACGGGGACAACCCCCGAACTGAAACTCTTTGGAACCAACTATGGAGTTACCTTGATCAATGGAGTTTGGAAAAGCCCAGCTCATTAAACCCTCTCAACAGATGCGAGGGTGGTACCTGGCTGGAAAATCCAAGAAGTCAGGATCGAATTTTCCCGGAGATTTACTACGTGCACGATTGTTCAATTGCCGGCCAGCAATATCTAGAATTATGCAAAATCATACTCCTGGCGCATGACCCTCAGATACCGGCCTTGGGTTTGGGCCGTACGAATTACATGAAGGCGCAAGAAGAGAAAATCAGAGAGACTGTTCGAAATCTTTGCGGGATTTGGCTATCGAACCCCGAATATGTCCCCGCAAAGATCTTGGCGAGCCTAGGAATTGCAATGACGGGCGAGCTGTTCACAGATCCCACTGAAACGAGACAGCTTTTTAATATTATATCTGAAGCTGAAATGCACGTTGGATGGCCATGTCTCAAAGTGAGCCCTCAGCTGAAGGAATTCTGGTCGTTGAACAATACAAGTGCTAGTAGCGAGAACTAGCTGTTTTTAGAAATTTCTTGTTTTATACAATTTATTGATCTCGCACAAGGGTGACTTTACAATGTTGACGAGAACCGAACATCCCGTCCCACTCAGGACCCCGTCCGGTTGATGTGGACCTCGATTTTGTACATCGACAATGTTCTTTCGACCGCTGCGGCTCCAATATCCAAATGTGAGACGGCTTAGGACCAAAGCTAGCGCCAGGAATGGGCGCAATTACTTCTTTCGAATCGTTAATTTGCCGAAAGCCCCAGTTTATGACGCTCTTATCTACACTTGAACTAGGGTTGGAAGTGGGCGCTATTTCCTTGAATGGAATCGGGCGCGGGGAACCCAATAGCTAGAAGTATGGGGTCACTGTTCATTTACCCGCGGGGTTTACAACTAAAGACCGTCGACTATAAGTATCCAAATTATGCGTGCCAACTTGCTTCATTATTCTTCCAATTGTTTATTCAATGGAAAGATATTGATACCCAAAGGTCAGATCTTGTTACCGCAATGGCCAAAGCTTCACTGGAAGAGATAGAAAGGCAATTATCCCCGTTACTCATGTTAAATGGTGAATTGATCAAATCTAACATCTTCCAGAACATCGGTAACCCCCATTGATGCTGTCGACACGCAAGGGGAAACCGGGTCTGTATCCAATGGCAATGGGAGGTGAGTTTATCGACCTCGGCATCATTCATTACAGGAAAACTTACTCTTAGCAGCGTCCAAACCCCTTTCCATGGAATTCCCAGAATTCAATTACTGCATGAAGTGCAGGAGTTTACCGTCAAGTTCGGGCTCACAGACGATCTCGAACTGTTCAAGAAGGGCGTTTTGGTAGCCAAGGACCCTGCCGGTTTAAATTCCGTCGAGGAACTAACTGAGGATGACCGCGAGTCTTTGGAAGCAGAGAAAGTGCACCGGTGGAAACACCCCTGGATTCTTTACTACACCATTCTCATGAATTCCATCGGTGCAGCTGTACAAGGCTGGGATCAAACGGGATCAAATGGTGCCAATCTCTCCTTTCCTCAGGCATTTGGAATTTCAGATACAGGAAGTGCGTGCCAGGTTGCTGGGACCTGCTCGCGAAACTCTTGGATCATTGGTGCTATCAATACGGCACCTTATATCGCTGTCTTCTTGATGTGGGCTTGTCTTCGCTTCGCTTAAGGAATATGCTAATTATCATCATAGCTCTTGCTGGTTATCCGATCCGATAAATAATATTCTGGGCAGAAGAGGGACGATTTTCATTGGTGCCATCTTTAGCTTGCTCTCTCCCATTGGACAAGCTGTTTCTCAATCATGGCCTCAGATTTTAGTTTGCAGGATTCTGCTTGGAATTGGAATGGGGCTTAAAGAAGTCACTGTTCCAGTCTTCTCAGCGGAAAATGCCCCTGCTAATATCCGCGGAGCTTTGGTGATGACTTGGCAAATTTTCGTCTGCTTGGGAATTATGCTTGGATTCTCTGCGAATCTAGCTGTCATGAATACTGGGGACATTTCATGGAGACTACAGCTTGGATCAGCATTTATACCTGCCCTTCCACTTGTGTTTGGGATATTTTTTGCGCCTGAGTCACCCCGATGGTTGTTAAAGAAAGGACGAGTTACCGACGCGTATCGGTCTCTTCTTCGGCTCCGAAATACTCCGTTACAAGCAGCTCGTGATCTCTACACTATCTATGTTCAGCTCGAAGTTGAAAAGGCAAAAATCCAGGAAGCTGGGTTTGGGAACAACAATATCATCACTCGATTTCTGGAGCTCTTTACAGTCCCTCGAAACCGCCGAGCAGCGCAAGCTTCTGGCATCGTCATGGCTGCACAGCAGTTCTGCGGAAGTACGCGTTTCTCCAAATCATTCTCATCTACAGTTTGTATTTCCTAAAGAACGAACGGCTAACACCCATCCTAGTCAATATAATGGCATTCTATTCATCAACCATTTTCGCCCAAGCCGGTGCCAGTACTGTCAACTCTCTTCTCGCTTCATGGGGCTTTGGAATCGCTCTGTTTGTCTTTACAATTCCAGCGTTTTACACCATCGACACATGGGGCAGACGCACGTTGCTCCTCACAACATTTCCAAATATGAGCTGGACATTGCTGGCGGCGGGAATGTCCTTTTACGTTCCCGAGAGCAGCACTGCGCATCTTGGCTTAATCGCCTTTTTCATCTACCTATACGCAGCCTTCTACGGTCCAGGAGAGGGACCTTGTGCATTTGCCTATTCGTCTGAGGTCTTTCCATTATCTCATCGCGAGATAGGTATGTCATGGGCTGTGGCGACAAATGGCTTTTGGGCCTCTGTCATTGCGCTCATATTTCCTCCCATGCTACAAGGTTTGGGTCCTCAAGGCACCTTTGGGTTATTTGCCGGACTTAACATACTCTGTTTTGTTCTTATCTTTCTGTTCGTACCAGAAACGAAGCAGCGAAGTCTTGAGGAGCTGGACGTTGTATTTTCTGTTTCTACCCGGAGACATGCTTCATATCAGCTTTATGATATGCTTCCATGGTCGTGGGGTCGGTTTGTTCTACGGAAGGATTTAGGCAGGCCGCAGCTATACCATGCGCAGCAGCAGGATAATTTGGAAGCCGGACTGAAATACTGAAGTGACGGGCTGGATAGCGTGCCGCTATACTCAGAAACCTTACCTCCAAGGTTCTGATAGTATATTTCTACTCGGATTTCTTTTGTTTTCCTTTCCTTCAGCGTAGAGCTTTCACTCAGATAGATGGAAATGACTCTCTTTAAAAACTAATTAAACATCGCATAACTTCGTCTAAACTATAGGAAACGTCAGGAATAAAGCCAACATCGCCTGAACTTATATAGTGTATTACTCAGTATCTCATTGAAAGGAAAATAGAGCTAAATCGAGCGAGCAGGCTCCAAATCCGTGGTGATCAGCAAGCAATGATTTTGAGCTAATGGGATATTTGAATCAGGTTAGGAAGTCTTCAATCTCTTCCACCACCGCATTGAGCCGGCTTTCTTCCAATATCCCCAGACATCCAGAACCTTTTCCAACGTGAAGGCCAAAGTTTCCCCGTCGAAAACTAATCGTTTTAATTCATCAATGTCCTTTTCGTATTCTCGAAGTTGATGTACATCATCGGTACTAGTATGTTCGGTCTTTAAGAGAAGTCGGCCCTTGTGTTCGGCATATTCTATGCCTTGTAGAAGGAGCCGCATCTTATGATCGTATTTTATAATGAGCGATAGGTCCTCCGCTGGCACTATCAAGCCATTTCCGTTTGTAAACAGGCGCGCCGCCGTCTCCCCATATCCGCGAGTAGGCTTGAAGTGGCCAAAAGATTCATGCATCAAACCTAAGTCCTCTTCGATCACCACATCGCTAGATAATTTTTGAGCCACAACACTGTTAGCCTGAAATCAGCAGCTTGTTGAAATAAGTCCGTCAAGAAAGGCGAGTTTGAAGTCCTGGGGGTATGTTGACGGGGATCAGGGGAAGGGAAGTCCAGGTGTATAGAATGAATAGAAGGCTATGAAAAGAGTTGACGAAGAGTGCCGCCCAATAAAATTTTCAAAGATGCCACATACAAATGCTCAGAAAAGCTTGGTTCTTGAAGACTTGAACACTTCTGGAAAGGCCGACATCAAGTTGAGGATGACACCCATATGTATCGTATCCACGGATCTGCTCAACCACAAACGGTTTCGGACCACTAGTAACTAAATGCTAGTCTATATAGAACTATTGTTTTTCTATGCCGATGAGAGATTGAAATTAAACCACGCTATATACTCCATACTGATACAAAAAATGAATCATTTTCCCAATGCAAGTTTTTGGTGACCTCTCTGAGTGGGTGATCAAGATGTAATCAAAATCCCGGATGGACAGGTAGATAGACAGTAGTTATGCCAATGCCATGGGACCAGAACTGTAGACCATATTTTTGATCACAGCCCGAGATCGAAATGCATCTCGACTATGTCTATGATTCAGGTAGTCCCTGGCTGGGGTTCTGGGCCTGGCCATTCCATCCAATATACGGCCAACCCTTGGGTAATGAGGAGAAGGGAGGGAGGACGTAGCGACCCTCACAGGTCCCATCGATGGGACAGTCCAAGTCGCATAGTCCAAAGACATTACAATAACACTCCTTGGCGGATGGACAGAAGACGGCCTTTTCTCCAAAGATCACTGCAGAAGTTAGTATCGAATCACACAGAGGGTTGCGGGTACAGAATGGTACTTACTATGCCATGAGTACTCCATGATCCGCCCACTCAAATCATCCGTCAGATCAGTGTTGATGAGCCAGTCGCGGAAGCGCACATAGTCACTCCGGGGCCGCTCGCGGACCCTGTCACGCGACACGGCAAACTGCGCGCAGCATGATGCTCCGACTTGCTCGGGAATGGGTACGCCGGGGAACAATTCCTTGAACCCGTTTGTGAAATATTCTCCCGCGTGCACGTCGTCGCGGTGTGTGTCGCTCAATGGGTGGATCTCGCCTGGGCAGCCTAGGGTCCAGACGCAACGCAGATTGACGTAGCCTTGTTTTTGGAGGTAGGGGAGCTGGAAGTTGCGGAGCATGCCGACGCCGTCGTAATATGGGTCGTCGTTGTGCCATTGGAAGCGTTGGGAGTGGATGAAGAGCATTGCGTCGGGGAGGTTGTCGTAGTGGTCAATGATGTATCTGTCGCGCATTAGCTTGGGTGAAAGGAGAAGATAGAAAATAGTAGCCAGCTGCATCATCTGGGACGCGGGAAAGCTGGTGATGGCGACACTCACGTCAAATACACCATGGATTCGCGGCCCTTGTTCTTCGTGACTGTCAAGGGCGCCCACTTGTCGTCCACCACGTAGATGCTCTGGGACCAGTCCGGAAAATACTCCGGCAACCAAGCAGTATCATCCGATTTCATACTCGCGACAACCATCTCCTTGTGTCGGCGAACGACGGGACGAGCCTGCTCGTCCGTGGACTTGGAGGAGGTGTCCCACGGGGTATCATGGCTAGGACCTGGGGTCGGGGCGCGCGAGGGGGGTATAGCGAGCTTTATCGCTGGTAATGGCTTTAGCGGTGGTTTCGGAGCCGGCGAAGAAGAGAAAGTATAGAGCGAAGACGATGAAGATGGTCAGGAAAATGGCCTTGATGCGATTGCGACGGCGGGGACTCTGTGGTCCGCTCGGAGCGAATAACATGGTGACGGTTGGGAGTCAAGCATCGGATCGGGTCAGCGCATAGTGCAGAGGAGGCGGAATGAAGCCCTCGGGGTTTCCCGAGGAATTCCGAGTCGAGATATGCGATTCCCTGGAATGGGAGGTCTGCAGGGAGGGAGAAGATGTGTGAAGAAGGGTGAAACGTGGAGCTGTTGGTGTTTGGTGTTGGTTGACGGGAGGAAGTTGGATTGGCTGGACAACTTGAACAACAGTGGGTCACTCGGACTATAAAACAGAAGTACAGCAGTACAAAAGATGCAGAGCAGAGCAGAGCAGTGGATATTTATATTTATATATTTATGTATATTATGACAATTGTTAATTCGTTCATTTTACTCATGGTAATTCATTCATTCATTTCTTTATCCTGGTCTCATGCTATCGAATACCATATCATACTATGCCCTGCTGCATAGTATAATAGTATAGCTCATTGGCATCCATCAATATTCACAATATACCAATTATGCGGCTCAACTTCCGTAATGGCCTGCCCAGCATTGCCTGCCTTCGAATCAATCCCACTGATCTCCTCCACATCTGACGTGGTCACCGTCACATCATTCCCACTGGTGATCCAGTACTCGGGACTAGCATGGCTAAACCCAAATGATGTAGGAGGAAGTCGAGGCACGATATCATTCGTATGTGTAACTCGCCAGAGACTACCTTGATCGGTCATATACGCTGAGAGAGCTTCATTGCCCACCCGAGGCTGGCCAAAGTTATACTACTGCAATTTAGTGTGGTCCAAGTTCCCAGATAGATTCGAGGGGGTTCTTACGATGTCCAGATCATATCCTGCGTTGCGCAAGGCAGTTCCTCCCAATGCTGCGACGGCTGCTCCGAAGCTGTGCCCGGTCATTACTAACGTGTATCCACTATAAGTCTTCCTCGCGGCGTCAATCTGCGCGGTGAGGTCGTCGGCAACGGAGTTCCAGGATTTCCAGAATCCGCCGTGTGCCTCGCAGCCGTCACATAGGTCACTGACATCGGTCAAGCCATAGTCAAGATTGGCTATCCAGGTGCTCAAGCTGCGGCTGCCTCGGAAAGAGACTACGAGAAGCTTGTTCGTGTCGTCGACGCTGAGGAACCCGGCTACATCGCCCCATTCGGTTGAGCTGGTGGATTTTATGAGTGGTTGATTTGAAATGGTGGAAGCTGACTAGAGTACTTACTCTTCGAATTCGTAGAGGGAGGTGGCCCCCGCAGACTGCACCGCTGGACAGTTTCCCTCGGCGCAGGTCAGTAAGCCGCCTGTCGAGTTGATATTGTTTGCGCAGTATGAGGCAGCGGCGTATTCGGCGAACAGAGTAAGTTGATTCAGTACACCGGATGAGACGTCTGAAAGTTCGTACTGTTAGCACAAGTTTTCCCTACCCTGATGGGATGGGTGTAGGTCTGATAGTATACCTCGAGGCACCGGACGGGCTGGTGCAGCTGCAGTGAGGGCAGTAATAGCCAGTAGAGACCAAAGAGAAGACAGCATTTTGTCGTGATTAGCCAAGCACAGGCGCAGGAACAGAAGCAGAAGCAGAAGCAGAAGCAGAAGCAGGAACAGGAACAAGAACAACTTGAGCTGAACCGGTATCCAGATAGGCCGCCATGTGGACTATATAGTGCTAGTAGTGGTACTACCCACTAGTTAACATCTACAAGCACGAAATATACAAGCCCGAAGCGGGGTATAACTCCAAAAAGAAGAAAACATGAAGCCATGTGCCGCGAATCCCGCTTCAACAGGTCCTACAAGCTGAAAATCGCCAAGGCAAAGTCGATCGAAAGAGGGTGGTTGTCCGGAGTTTAGCCACGGGACTGGTCGATGGCGTCTCCGAGTGGTGGGGATTCTCAAGGGATCGGCACTCCTGCAGTTCTTCACGCGGCGATGTAACTGTCAGCCTGCCCAGGTGGGATGCATGAGGGGTGAAGGAATGGAGGGGTATTATCTTCAAGTTGAACTGTGGTATATGTGTAGAGGAGAGGTGAGGGTATTAGAAGGTGTGCAGTATATGGTAACTATCGTATACTGTAGCTATCACCAACTCCTCTGCAGCCATGTGGACCAGCCCACCAGTTCCCTTCTCCCCCACTTCTCGATCTCTTCTGGAAAATGTACTCCTACGAGTCGATTTCACCATCACCCCATCCGGTAAAATCTCCTAGTGATTAGCACGGAACTCCGCTTGAACCGAATGACCTTTCAGCCCGACATTCCCGCTAAATTGTATACCAAATGACCAACCCCAGCAACACAGCAACAAACCGGCCATGGAAGCAAGAGAGGAAAAAACGTTAATAGATTGATTTGAACTCCTCTACGGCTCTTCTCCGCTTCACTCCACTCTACTGCACCTCATTCCCCTCCCCCCTCTTCCTTCACATCCGTCATGCCCGTATCTTGTTCTTGCTCTTCGCCCGCCAGCACCTTGGTGCGGGGAATCTGGCCGTCCACTGGAGTGCCCGGGGTCATGGCCACGACGTTGTCATTCTCGTCCACAAACTCAAAGTTGTATCGGGAGAGGAGGTGCGGGATTGCGGAGAGTTGCGGTCCATAACGCGCGGTGTTGTCGTATAGCTCGAAGAGTGGCACGGCGAGCAGTTTCATATTCTTCGGCACGGAGAGGACCTCTGCAATCAACTATTAGTATCATACAAACTGATGAGAGGTAAAAAGCTGCCGCAAGTGTGGGCTGGGCTGGTAGGCTGACAACCAGCCAGGTCACTCACTCTTCTTGGGTAACTGGATAAAGTACAACTTCTTGCACTCCTTAGGCCGGGTGACATGTCCCGGTAGGAACGGGTACATGAAGGTCTCGAAATTGGGCCGCCACCACTGCGCAAGAGTGTCGCCAATCTCCCAGTCCTCGTTCACGCCTTCGCCAGAGAATTGCGAACCTACTGGTGCCAGGCGTTCGTTCAGTCGTTTCTTGAACCCGTTGAGTTCCTCGTCTTCGTGGTGCAGATAATCGCCCGGTCTAGCGAAGTAGTTACAGTTAGCCGGAGCTCTGTTCGAGTGTGCCCAGCATTACCTGGATAGATGGAGTGCTGGAGCGCAGAGAGAGCATTACAGTTTGAAGAATGCATTGGCGATTTGCAACATCAGGACGTGTGGGTGATTGTGTTCGTGGCAGACGAGGATACCCTCGCAGGTGCGCCGCATGCCGTGGATCTCATAATGTTCTTCTAGACGTTTTAACCGGGCCAGGACGGAGGGGTCTTCTTCCGGCTGCGTCTCTTTCGTGCCGAACGTGTAGTTGGACAGCGGGTATAGGCGAATTGTCTCTGGTTGCTGTGCGGAGAAATCCTTGGGGAGGATAGGACTGCGAGTCGATGGATGTTATGTTAGCGGGGTGGTAGAAGCAGAGTGGCTGTTTGAAGAAAGGATTGACTCACGGGCGACTACTCTTAACCACTGTTTCTGTTGCTGTCGCCATTCTGAGGGAGTGTTGATGTTGAGAGAAGGAAGGGCGAGCTCGGAGAGTTCCTAAGGTTGAGCTGAGTTGAAGCTGGCCGGGGATGCGCGTTATCGCTATCGGGAGACCGCCTGCCGGAAGGGAGACCTGGGGCTGGGGAACCCTAAGGTAGATACTACTATACAACAGGTGAAATATGCTAGAAGCTAGTTTATTGGACACTACTACTTAGGGTTCCTACTGAGAATACACCATATAGTAATTTAAAGAGTTTAAATTTAATTCATATGCTTAGGTACCATGGGATTACTATTCTGATGCTCATCAACTCCATCCTCGACTCCGCGACCCCTCTACTCCCGCCCATGCCACTCCAATACAGATCAATCACAGCCCACTTACAACTTCGCGTCAAAGTCTTCAAACTCGGTGAGATCCGTGATAGAAACAGGACCCGTGCTGACAGGCAGACGCGCCTTGAAGGTCGTGACATCCGTAATCGTGACGGGGTCGTGAGGACTCGCGGGCACGTCGGTACCATTGGCCGCAGTCTTCTCGTCCTTACCAGCCTCCAGGCCAAGCTGCTTCAACTGGATACCCATCTTCTTTTCCAATGCCTCAGTCACGGGGGTAATCTGTGCTGGTGATAATGTCAAGTCTGTAGCCAGGAAGGTCTTAACGATATATACAATCTGTGCTAGGTCAACGACCTCAACGTCAATCTCGTCAAAGGCCGTTGCCAGGCGAGCGTTGTCCACAGCAAATCCAGAAGTCTCAAGCTGCTTATAGACAGTCTCGACAAGACGGGCTCGCTTGTCAATGGCGCTAGTCTCGAGTTGGGCACCAGACTGCGCGTTCAGGTGGATTGCCAGCTTGGCACGCGTAGTCGAGGCCGGGTCGATGTATTGCTTGAAGAAGCTTTGCAGGTCTCCCTTGGTCAAAGTCTGTACGTTCGCTGCGTCAGTCTCGTGCTGCAGGAAGTCAAAGTACTCCGAGCCAACATGAGACCAGTAGCGGCCAGTCTCCGAGCCCAGGTTCTTGAGCTTCTCCAGACGCTTGTTAATGACACTGCGCTTGTGGCCCTCGAATTCTTCGTCGGACATCTCATCCAGCACCGGTCCAAAGCCGCGCAGGAAGTTTTCAATGCGGGTTTCGAGGTATTGCGCGGTGCGTTCACTCTGAATAATGACCCGGTAGCCCATGGTGGTTGCGTTGTATCGGGAGCCGCTCCACACCACGTATCCGAGCTGCTCCTTGCTGCGCAGCTGGTCGAATGCGGGCTCGTCAGTCAGCTGAGAGAAAAGCTGCAGCTTGGATCGCAGCAGATCATCGGAAAAGAGACCAATATATAGATAATACTCGATGCAGTGGTTGACGTTGGCCGGGTCCTTGAGTGTCCGCGGGTAGACATAGTTGCTGCCGGGCGGGATCATCATGTTGCGGCGAAGATACCACTGGGAAGGAGGCAGAGCACGGCCCTGGAGAATCTTCTCCACAGAGTCCGTCATACGCAGCGCATCTTCCTTGTATAGGTTACCGTGGGCCAGAGCCTCGATGTGAGTCTGCTCGAGCAGCTGGGGGTAGAAGTTGGTAATATCAGCGGCCGTGATGTGTTCCAGCTCCTCAATGTATTGCTCATTAACCCAGCTGCGCTCCGAGAGTAGGTAGCGGGTGTAGTCGCCAACTTGGTAGAACGGCTGCTGGTACTCGGCATTGCGGAATGCGCGGGTCAGACGCTCTTTTATAATGTTGAAGCGGTCTTGGTTCACGGTCAACCCGCGCATGGTGGTCAACACCTTATCCAGCAGAACTGACATCTTGTCGTTATAGCCGCCCACGGAAATATCCAATCCAAGGATGTTCGCCGCCAAGTGGTAGTCCAGACCAGCCAACTCGGCATCGTACGAGTACTCGTCAAGGGAATCCCGCACCAGTTCACAGTAGAACTTGGTCTTGATGAGGTTCGCGGGGGTAGCCCAAACCAGAGGGTTGCGTAATGTCACATGGACAGTTGCCTTGGGAACCCAGAAGCGGTCGTCCTTCTTGAACCAGAGACGGACTCGGTCATCGTGACGGATCAGCTTGGGGGTCTTGACGGGCTCAGAAGTCTCCTTCTTCTCGACGGACAGTCTCGTTGGAACAAACTCGTTCTTGTGAGGCATGTGCACGTCGGATGTACGAGTACCCTCAGTGGACTCTAGTGCCTTTTGAATCCCGCTCAGGAAGTCCTGCGGAATCTTCTCGACCTTATACTCTGTGCCGTACCACTTCTCCTTCTGGTCCCACTGGCCCGGGTAGTCCTGGGACACAATGATGAGACGGAAGTTGTCCGCCCGGAGGTAAGACATAGCCTTCTTGATGAGTTCCGGGTCGAATTGGCGCAGCAGTGATCCGCTGAGCAGGTGCTCACGAGCCATCGACTTTTGCATCACGCTACTGAGACGACTGGTGAATCGGCTAGCGGGAGTCTTCTGCTTGAAGCGGAAGTCAACTTCAGCGAGGTTCTTCATCTCGTCGAAGATCCATTGCTCCGGCTCGCGTTGCTGAATCAGAGCGATGTATTCGAAGATGACCTTCGCCACCTCCTGGTACTTGCTCAGACCCTCAGGCGTCAGGCGCACCGAGATTGTGAAGAAGGCCGAGCCAGGGCAGATGGGCATCGCGCCGGCAGACAGGCCATTCGCCCAGCCCTTAGCCTTCAGATACGAGAGAACACTGCCCGGACCCTCATGGCCAATCAGATGGCTGATATATCGGCTAGGCTGGGTGTCGTTCATCTTCTCCTCATCCAAGAAGGGGAAGTACAGATCCATTGAGCGTGAGTCCATGACGGGCTTTGCAAACACCTGAGTACACATATCAGCCTCGGAGAAAGGCTGCACGTCATCCCATCGGTTCTGGGGTAGGTTTTTGTTCTCAACATCTGCGAACAGCTCAGAAACCCATTGCTCGAGTGTATCCAGGGATTCCCGGCCCAGAACCACCAGCTTGGCGCGATTGGCTGAGTAGTGCTTCTCATAGAACTGGATGAACTCGCTGCGCACCTCGAGGCCGCGTTTCTGCGGGTCCTCCTTGA